TAAAATTGTGAAAACTTGGATAACAATTAAAGTTGATTTTGATTCAAGTTTAAAGAAAAAAAATTCATCTCAATCAATTTTCAGTTCAATTGGTTCGGATAAATGAAGTTAATTTCAAGTTTACCATGAAACTCAGAGACTTCATTGTTGGCTCAATGTTGAATTTTTTTCTGTTTCATGATATTAAAGTTTTGTATTAACCTTTCAACAATTGAATAACTTTTCACTGTTTGTTTAAAATGTTTCATCTTTTTTTTTGCTCACAACGATTGTGTCATACTTATCATGATCCTCATGTAATCTGATCGTCTGAACAACTCAACTCCTTTCTAATAACTGAGATTGAAATTGAAACGATTTCTGAACACGAAATAGTTTCCTTATCATTCTGATAGGGACGAAAACGTTTTAAACTGAAATGTTAGTTTATTGTTTTTTATTTTTCTCTTTCTTTATTTTCGTCTTTTCATGATCATTTTCATGATGAATGGGAGGATATTCACGGAGAAAAGAAATAATAGAAAGGAAGAAGCAAAATCTTCTAAAAAAAAGTTCTGATCTGAAAAAGTTAATGAGGCAACTAGTTTGTTGTCATGTATCAGAGACTTGGGATTTAATATCTATCAATGGTTATTGCGTGTCTATGGACAAAACATATGATCTTGACCATCACTTTTGCTTTCTGATCACAATGAATTTCATGGTGAAGTCGAAAGAAAAGTTCACTTGATCAACTAAATTATTTCTATCTCTCAGTGTGATCCAGACATCGAATTACCATCTAACTGAACAATCAGTGATCTGGCCACTGGTCAATATTTGTTTCAACATAGAAAGACAAAAATATTCCACCTGATATCTGATCATCATGATAAGTGTTCATAATGTTCACTATCCACATGAACATTATGATAAATGTAAAGAAAGATAGAGAGTAAGGAAGCTTAAACATGAGAAACTTCAAACTCATGGAGACAAAGCAATGAACAAAAAAGTTCCAATATAATATCATGGGTACTCTCATGAAGATGAAACTTGATAAGGATAAAATCATGTTCTAACAGAAGAAGAAGAGAGAGAGAGAAAAAAAATCTTCTAAATTGTGAGAAATTGATTGTCTACTGGATGGAATGACTTTAACTTCATGAGAATAGTATTTATATAAATTCATGGATCCAAACTGAGCTCACGAAAATGCTCAGAATTTAAACTCAATCCATTTGATTGAAAATAAAATAAATGATCAACTATTAGTAAACATTTTTCAGTTCAACGATATTATTTGCAAATTTTATCAAATCAATGGGATTACAATCAAGAATAAATTGTTTCTTCATAATCAATGATGATGATGTGATCGGAAAATTGTCCAATTCATATATCATCATGCAAGTATATATATTATCTGTTACTCTGATTTTGTTTCATTAACATGATGAACTTTCCATCAACATTTCAGACTCAATATTCTGAAAATATTATTATTTCAACGGTGATTTATCATTATTCAATTGAACAATCAATCCATTTAAACAATTTCTCCATGAAAAATAGTTGAGATAATAATGTTAACTATTTAATTCCATGATGGATCTTTTTCATGGAAGAGAGATAAAAGTTGAAAATCGAATCAGAATTTTGCTTTTCTCATCAAATTCAACTGATCAAATTTTATTGATATTAACTGTTGGATAGACTTTGATTAAAAAAAGCGATCAAGTTTGATATTGATATTCAATTGTTGATTGTTCAGTTGTCTTCCTACTAGAGCCATTGGTCAGTTGTTTTCCTCTCCCTTCAACAAACAATGAGAGTAATAATACTAAGCTGGTCAACTGTCCAGTCTGATTGTTTGCAAGCCATACACAAAGCAGAAATAATCTCAATTTAATGATTAAAAGTCAATCTAATCTTAAAAGTAAATGAAAGTAAATAAAATCAAATGAAAATCAAGCTAATATGCTGATGACCAATAAGTATTAATAGTACGACTAATTAACTTGATCATCTATTAGTAAATGATAATAGATTAAGATGAGACATTTTTCTCGCTTTCTAATTATCCCTTGGTAATTTTCCTTTGATAAAAGTATGAAATCCGTTGTTGTTTCCAATGCTTATCGAGTATAATGTGTATCTATGGGTTAGCCACTTTCACTTTCACTCCCAATTCCATGCCCACTCCTACTTTTCCCACTTCCCATGATCATCTGAGAAAAAGTTTCTTTCACTTCCTTTACAAGGATATAATATATTTATACACTAGAACAACTTGATCTATTCAATATCCATTCAGGATTCTTAGCACTTCATCATCATGTGTCCATCATGTTGACAGGAAGAGGGATCAAGACAAGTAAAGTCCATTTTGACAATTGACTATTGACAAACTAGTCCAATTTGACCATCATCATCAGCCTCATCTATATGTAAAGAAAACTTTGATAACATGTAAAAAGATTGAGATAACACTTTTGATAACTTTTTACATGAAAATATTGACCAGGAAGTGGACAGAAAGGAAATTTTTTCTCGTCATGTAACTTGTAGATATCAATGTTAACAAAAATCTATTGCAATCCAATCAGTTTACAATCTTGTTAAGTTTTCATATAACTGACCAGTTAATATATATAAAATCAAGTGGATATGGTCAAGAGTCTGGAAAAAGTTATTACCAAATTTTGTAGCATTAAATAAATAGACTGTTGAGAAAAAGTAAATTTTAAAAAAATTTCATGAGAATTTTTTTATTACTATTATCATGTTTTTTTCAGGGGGAAATTGAATGGAAAATAAATTGAAACGATTTCACTTTTCTTTCATATTCAATTGTTTTTTTACTGGTTGATAAGTTGATTGTATTAATAATTATATCCGTTAGTAAAAAATGAACAATCAACAAATCAAACGTAAATTTAGTTCAAAAATTGAATCAAAACTATGGAAGCGGGAAAAATTTGAGACAATTATCATTAGATTTTTAATCATCTCTTATAATTTCCATTGATTAAATTGTCATGATTGACAAATAACAAGAAGATGATGTAATATTAATGATAATGATTATGATGATGATTATAAATACAAAGATGATTAAGGAGCGATACTGGTTGATGATAATCATTGATGATGATTAAAAGCATCAATGATCATAATTTGGATTCTCTTTGTGGTTTCCAATGAGAAACATTTTCTTCAGAACTTTTTACTTCATCCTCTTCATCCTCTCCATCCTCTTTATCATCATGAGCATCACTTTCTTGAATGATGATGATCATTTTTTTTGTTACTCTCAAACTATAATCAACAGTTAATGATGAAGATGAAAATGATTAGGATTGTGAAATAAGCACAATAATCAATACTGATGGAAATCTACTGAAGGATATAAAATTTGAAGTGAACAGAATGATTATCATGATGGTTCAAGTGAAGATTCTGATCATGGTTCAGTGATAACATGACAATGGTTCAGAAGAGGTTGCTGATAATAATAGCCGAGAATAGCCTTAGGGTGATATTAATATTAGATTAAGATGAAACTAATCAATCTGATTGCTTTTAATTTTTGTAATATTTTCTTGGTGTCATTTTATCAGTTGATGATCAATAGTCATCAAAATGATATTATTGATTATCGCCTTCATGTAAACATGCAAGGAATGTTTAACCTTCGCCCCCATGAACCATCATGTTCAGCATTATGATTATCAATTCATGATGAGAGATAGATAGAGAGGAAGAGAGAAAGAGGAACAAGATGATTACAATGGAAATCAATCAAATTTCATGTTCGATTTCAGTGAAGAAAAAAAAGTTCTGTCCTGAGTTTTTTTCTCTTTTGTTATTCTTTTCTAATATTTTCGATAGTTTTTTCAAATTCCGGTTCCGTCCAGTCATTTTCCCTTATTATTCTGTATTCTTACCTTTGAACATTTTATCATCTTCATCATGATTATCATGGTTTCCACTTGTTCTCAGTTGATAGTAATCTTTGTTTGGTTGGAGAAGAAAAAAAAGTTGCAACGTTTTTTTTTCTTCTTTATGTTGAAAAGTTTCTCATGTATTCTGATAGATTTTACTTTCAGGAAGCAAAAAAAGTTCGTGTTACTTTATCATGAGAAGTATGAGAATAAAGTGGAAAAAAGTTCCAATTCAGTATAATATCTTTGGATGATAACAATTTGTGTTACAATGTTGATTCTTGGTTTCATCTATTCAATCAATATATCAATATATTGACAGATTAACTATAATCTCATAGAAATGTATCTCCTCTCTTATCTCTCATCCAACTTTTATCATGATAATTCTGAGGTTAGAATGAGTTATCCATGGTTATTTAGATCTGAGCTTTAGTATCTTTCATGGAGACCTGGAGTTTTTATCTGTATGAATGATGAGAAAGAGGCTTAATAGCTGATGGATTTGCATATAAAAACGATGTTCCTAATCCAGAAAAACTGTAATTGAATCTTTGAAAAATTAATTTCTCAATACGATAAAAATTAATGGTAACCAATGGGTAATGATTAATATCTTAAATTAGTAACAATCGGGATAATCCGTAATCAATTAGTGATCCTGAATAGAAACTATCACCAGAACAATTTAATGATAATCAAACCTTGTTAATCCGATTATCAAAGTAATCAAATATTAATAATACTGAAAAAGTAATCAGGTTAAATTGTTAACAATTTTTCCCCTAATAAAACAATCATGTTAATCAGTAGCAATCAAAAAGTAAAATGATTAGATAATTACTACTAATCACTGAAGCAAAGACAAAAAAATCTAATTAGCTGATTAACTTTTATCTGATTGTTGTTGTTACTTTGATTATTTATCCAAAAAGGTGAATTGAATTGCCAAGTTTTTTTTTGTATTCACATGAATAATTTTTCAATTCATTCATCAAAAAAAAACTGATCAATCTAATTAGCTCTTGTTTTTTTTTCTCATTTACTTTCTCTACCTGTTGAAAATTGATTCAGGTACATGGCGGTTGTTCATCCATTTAAGCCACGAATGAATCGGACAACATCGTTAATTGTTGTCATGTTAATCTGGTTATTAGCTGGAATCCTCGCTCTACCCTCAGTTTTATACTCGACAACCTATGAGATTAAATATCAAGATGGATCAAGGATATTGTGTTGGTTACATTGGCCTGATGGTGTTCCCAATATATCTCAATACGATCACATGTAAGTAAACCATCATCATCATCATCACCAGCATCTTCATCATCATCAGCAAAAACAACAATATATATTTTTAACTCCCAGCAGTCATTAGCTGTATCAATGGATTGTAACTAATAATAATACTTCATAGTAATTACCTAATCAATTTAGTTGTTTTTTCCTAAATTGGATTAACCATCTTCAGGTGTAGTTTCAATGTCATTTTATATCAAGATAAATATCAACATTTTTGAAGGCTAATTGGTTGAGGATAATAATAGATTTTGATTAACTAATATTATTTATATTGACTGATGAGAATAGCATAACAATAATGATTAACTAACTGGTCACTTTGAGGTTTGGCTAATTTTATGGGTTTTTTTAGGTTTTGTTTGAATTTGAAACTTTTCTAAATACTATTGGTTGATTTATTATTCTGTTGACCATTAGACTCAATCTATTATCTGGTCAATCTATTAGATTGTCAATGATAAATTGGCTGAATGAAAAGCAAAGTTTTACAATGTTTAAGCTCTTATGGTCAAGTGATTACTGGTCAGTTCTTTATATTCACATAGCAGATTAATTTAAGTTTTTCTCTTATATATAAAATCAAAGTAAACAGGTAAGTTTATTTTTAGTATTTTTTTTCGTGAATTCATTTATACCGTTAGGTTTTTCCATTAGGATATTTTTCAGGGTATTCAGATTTTCATGTTCTCAGTCTGAATCATGATCAAGATAAACCAAGTAACTCGAAAGTATAATCATTCAAAATCAATGTGATATTGACCATTATCGTTATCATCATGAAAAGTAACATGTGTAACTGAATCCATTTCAATTCCGTTTTACTCATGAAGAGATAGACAACTTATTCCCATGTTAATCTTATATTCACCTTTCTGTTTATCCTTTTTTTTCATCTTTCCATTCATGATAATCTACCAAGTATTTTAACTTTTACCTCTTTCATTTTCATTATCTCATTGAATTTTATTCATTACAAGATAATCATCAACAATGATATTAGTTCATTAGTATTATATAATAATAACAGTAAATGGTGAAAAAAATACTTGATGATGATGGAAAACTACATGATTAGATATCGCATTACAACTGAATAGTTTCAGGAACATCTTTTCCCATTGTTCAATTGTTATCATCATGTTTTTATTTCATGGAAACCTATGGAATGGAAGACAAGAAAGATGATTAAAGGAGCAGGGAGAGGGAGAGATAGAGAAAAAATTATTCATCTGAGAATTGAAATGTTCAGTTATGTATTCTCGTTGTTGTTTCTTTTGATATTATAACAAAGTAATCAATCAAAAAGATAACAATTAACTTTGGTTACTAGATTAATGGATTAATTTGAAGTTAATCTACATCTAGAAGATTCCAATCTAGGGATAAATTAACTTTGTCAGCTAATTGAGTTACATTTCATGATCATATTCATGGTTAATGTATTCATATAATCAAGTCTATTGAACTTGATCATCGCATTTACCTTGAGTAAGAAAGTTTTTGTTTCACCGTTTTTTTGGTAAATAATATCATCATGATTTTCACCTTCATTCAACAGCCACCACCCACCAGGTGAAAACTGAATAATGATGAAATATCAGGAACCGAAGATAGAGAAATCCAACTGATTCTAAATGAATTATTCAGAAAAGAAGAAAAAATCTTATTCTTTTCTCATTTATATCTACACACACACACACATCATTTTCTGATGTAGATGAAGCACGTAACCAGAATTTTCCAAGTTCCATGAAAATTTTGATTCCTCTAGTAGAAAAAGTTCTGATAACAATGATAATAGGATCATGATGATGAGAAAATCAGTTGAACAAAATGAATCTTTAAGTAGCTTTATAAGGATGAGGTTGAGGTGTTGGTTGTGTGTGTTGATGGTGGAGAAGGTAAAAAGTTCTGGAAAGAGAGTAAAGAAAATCTGAGAAAGTATATAAAAAGTATTTCTATTGATGAGTAAAAGAAAAGTTCAAGGTGTATATCTAATGCCAGTGATAGGAAAACAATAGAGATTGAGGAGAAGAAAAAAAAATTGAAAGAAAATCTCTGAAATTTTGAGGAAAGTGAATTCTACAAAATCAACTGAACCAGAAGTTATCAATTCAATTTCCAAGAACATATTAATATATACATTCCAATGTTATCTACTTCATGGTATAATATATTATCTGAACATGATAATGATGGATGATTATAATAACAACCATAATGGACCCGATTAAAATCAGAATTTTTTATCATGAACCCAGAGGTTTGACTGAAAGAAAGAGAAAGAGAGAGAGAGAGAGAGACCGGAATTCACTCATCATCTTCATCTCTATCAGAGTTTTTCTTAACCATTTTCTGTTTCATTATCATGAAGTCTCAATATTTACCTTGGAATAAATTTCTCCTCTTCAAGTGTATAAATATAACTTGGAGAGAAGTTCAGAGAATCAAGAATTTATTGTGAAACTTTGCTTTTTTATTTTTTTCTTTTGTTTTTTTCCATAATGATCATGTTGGTGTTGATCAAGATACATGATTACCTGTGGTCAGTTGTTGCAACATCAGTCATCATTTACAATCTGATTTTCTGATTGGTTTTTATTTCCTTATTAATATGTATCTTTATATATAATAAAATAAATTGAAGATAACAATGAGAATCCAGATGATTGTTCATGTTTATAACGGTATATTCATGATGATTTAACAACTTTTTGGCTTCCATGAGCCTTAATTGTGATTATAATTTTGATAGATGATGACGATGATTCTCATTCATCAGGGATTCATTACAGAAACATTATTGCATCAAATTCATTATAACTGGTTGACTTTTATATCTCTTTTCAAATTGAACCCAAGATGATGGAAAGTCATGATAAGATGGTCAACTGATTCAAATAGAAATCAATTCAAATGTTAATCATATGATTTGTAATAAACGATAATCAAATTAACGGTTATGATTGATGAGGAGAAACGGGAGAAACTTTGTCTTATTACAAATTCGATAGTGAAATGAACAGAATTCTAACTCATTGAAATTTCGTTCCAGATATAATATTACTTTTTTCGTGGTTACCTATGCGATTCCAATGCTCATAATGGGTTTAACTTATACTCGAATGAGTTTCGTCCTTTGGGGAAGTGCTCAGATTGGTGAGATGACCACTCATCAACGAGAAGCGATAAGGTCGAAGCAGAAAGTTGTCCCAATGTTGATCATAGTGACCATCATATTTGGATTATGTTGGCTACCTTATCAACTCTATTTCGTGGTTGTTTTTTACATCATTGAATTGGGCCAAAAGGATTACACTCAGCACATTTACCTTACCTTTTATTGGTTAGCAATGTTCAATTCCTCGCTCAATCCAATAATCTATTGTCTTCTAAATAAAAGGTAAATCATTATCTTAACATTTAATAATATCATTAATCATCAAAATGATTAGAAAGTTAATCCATCAGAGTCGAAAGTAGATTAATTCAAATTTTCTATTCTAATAAACATGGAATATTAATACAAGTAGAAAAAAAAGTTTCCATTCAAGTTTAATCCTCGAAACTTTTTCCTCTACGAGTAAAGTTAATTCTTGTTGTAAACAATTAATCATAATTAATTTCTTTTCGGTTTAATTAAGGATAGTAATTAATCTTGAAAGTTTTTCTTGATCGTTTTGTTATTATTATCAATTGTTGGTGAATAATAATTTTCGAGAGTTTGAGAGGATAAAAAAGAACAAGTTGAAACTTTTGTTCTAATTATTTTCTTCTTTTGTCTTGTTCGAAGGTTTCGAAAATATTCAAAGAAATTGATAATTACCATGTGTCGATGTGGTGAAGATCGTTCGTCCAACCTTCGAGGTGTCTCATTACGAAGTGAGGATTGTTCAAATTTAGACCATAAATCCGTTAAGCTGCCCACTCATCTCACAAGGATGGACATGAAAAGTGACGATTTATGATTTATATTGTATAATAGAAATTTAAATTGTTCTAAATTCAAAATATGAGATTAATTGTTCTCTTTTTTTTTGTTGTCAATCAATGGTCACTTTTATCGTGTCCAAAAAGTAATTCATGTCCAACCAAACAAGGGACACAAAGAGCAAGTACAACAGCCAATACAATAGATAATTTTTATCTAAATATTTTTATAAATAAACATGGAAAGTAAATAATATAAATTTGTGATTTACCTGATGGTCATTTTTGTGGTTGTGGTCAAGTTGTTTTCATGGTTCCAATTGATATGATGACCAATGATAGTACCTGATTTGTCCAGTCAACAATAAGTAATCTGGACAGTTGATTATTAAATACATGAAGAAAAAAAAACCGATATGATTGATTGGTTAGTGTTACTGAATTACAGTAACCAGAAACCATGAATGAATCAGATATACAACAAAAAAGTGTAAACAAATATGTGTCGTCATGATTGTCATCATCATCATCATCATCATCATCATCTATGGTCATCATGTGTCCAGAAATAATGATAATAATAATGTTATCTGATTTTCATGGTGATTCAATGAGATCCCTCATGAGGATTATAATGAGTGAGGTAAATATCATGTTGATATTTCAAAGGAACAGTTAAAATTGATTTTAGTCAAATAATCAATTTAATTACAATTAAACTTAATTGGATAACATAATTACTAATGGTCAGTCTTTGGGGTAGGTTAAGATTATGTCAAGTAATAGCAATCAAACTGGTTAAGGGTATCATTAAATTGTTGTTGAATTTGTGATCAAAATTAATATCACAACAATTAACATGAAAATTTGATGCTAATTGTCATTAATAATTAAAAGTCCGACTTTTGATTACAAGGCCTTGTAACATGTCAATTTAAACTGAATTTTGTTATGCTAATTGTTAATTATTAACAAACCTTTCATATCAATTCAACAATTAAGTTAATTGTTAATATTAATACTTTTAATGGTTAAATTAATTTATTGCTTTTGTTTTGTATATTTACAACAATTAGCATTCAATTATTGAGATTATCAGATAATTAGGATTATATTGTTCAGATATTATAAGCTAATTTGCTAGTTATTAAATAGATTGTTGCATTGAACAATTTAAAGGTTCACTTAATTGTGGTTAATTTAGATATCCTTTGTCAGGGTTAATTTAATATTCAAAAAACAATTGAAACCAATTGATTTACAGCAAAAATCAATTCCATTAACAGGTTAAGGTTAAAGGCTAATCTTGATTCAGTTTTAAACGTAATTAGTTGACAGACAATTAAGTTAATTGTCTTTTTTTTCGGTGTGACAACAATCAAATCCATTGTTGATATGATTATATTTAATTTGATTAAATCTTAAAACGTGACAAACTCATGATCAACTTAATCAGGAAATTAGAGTTTTTTTCCTAATTAAGAATTGAACTTTTTCTCAAATCACAATTAGTTTGATTGTCTATCAAATCTTCAAGTTTACCCTTAACTGTAATCAACTTGATCATCACAATTAATTACTATCAATTTATTGGTAATTTAACTTAGTTTTTGCTTTTTTAATTCAATGTTCATTTACCTGAGATTTGAACAAACAAACAAAAACAAGATAATCTTTACTTGTTTAATCAACAAATTGATTGTTTATTTAATTGTAAGCAATTTAATTAGATGACAGATTGATAATTAATTAGTACGAAATTTAGATTAGTTTTTTTTTCATTACAATTAATTTACTTTAACCATGATCATCGTCATAATCAACATGGTAAACTTTTCAATCTTCATGATGATGATGATTTGCAATTGAAATTATGATACAATTTCACTTAATCATAATGATTTTTATTAATCAAAATTAATTGTATAGAAATGGTCAACCTACAATTTAGAATCAATATCAATTTGTAATGAATGGTCATCATCATTAATATAAAGTGAAAGTTAATTAACAATATTAAATTGTGACCATGAATAAAGTTTGTTGTTGTTGTTGTTTATTTGTTGATGTCTCGTTCAATTAAAATTGATTGTAAAGTAAAAAAATTAAACCTTGCCCGAAGCGGGATAATTAGTTAATTGTTAATAGTAAATTGTTGTTAGGAATAAATTATATTACCAATAGATACCAAAACTTTGATTAAAAGTTAATCATAACATCCGAGCTTCCGATATTTACAATTAACCTTGATTGTTGTTGATTTTTTTTTCTCGTATTTTTAATAACAATTTAAAGACTATCAAACTTTTTGTTTTTGTTTTCTCACTGATTTGCATTAATTAGAGACAAATTAGTTGTTCAAGTTAATCATTGAGAAGATTAAAGTTAATTATTTCAGGATTAAGGAGTATGAGGTTTTAATTAGTATGTTGATGTTTGATTTAATCAAAGTAATTCAATCCTTGAGAACCAGATTAATTCAGTAATCATCATCCTGAAAAATCAATTTGATTGTTGTCCAAAATCAATGAGAATCATTGTTGATTAACATTTGGGTGGATTAAATCAATTAATTGTTTCAAGTGTTAAATTTTTTCCAATCAATTAATAATAATAATACAATGTAATTGTAAGGAAATTTTTTTTCCTGTTAATTTTTTTGTTACTTTTCATGTATTATAATTATTGGCGATTATTATTATTGTTGATTATCAGTTGATTGCAATTAAGTTTTGATTTGATGATGATAAGAAGTGAATGCGAAATAAAAAAAACGATTGATTTGGAATAGGAAAAAAAGAGTTAATGTTTTTTTCTTATTCTTTTACAAGTTTAAGGGCTAAATTGTTGTTTCGTTGTTTTTGATTATCAAGTTTGATTGTTGTGACCTGAAAGAGTTGACATTGGGAGATTGTGATGATAACTGAGTGAGAAGAAGAAGAGTGAGTATTAAATGAAAGAGAAAATGAGAGAGATGATAAAGAAGAGGAGGGAGAGAAAGGTAGTTTTTCGGGAACGTCCAATGGAAGATGAAGAAAGGGGAAGGAATTTTAAAGAGAAAGGATAAGAGAGAAAGAGAGAGAGAGAGAGAGAGAGAGATGATGATGATGATGATGATTTAGGAAGAGGAAGAAAGTGAGAGTGTTAGTGAGAGAGAAATGAAGGTGAGTTAGTGAGATCTTCACTTTTCCTGTGTCTTTGGTCTAAAAATTCATTTGGATTGTTAATCAAGAGTAACAATCAACTTTATCGGTTTTATCAATTGTAGATTTTTAATTATGATTATTTTTTTAATCATCTGACCATTACAATCAATTCATCGTGTTTTTAATCATCTAATTGTTGACCAACCATAACTACAACGGTGAAAAAAATCCGAGCCCACGAAAATCATAGAAATTTATTCCAAGTTTTTGCTTTTATTATTTGAAATTGAATTTTATCCATCAATCTATCGGTCACCAATTAATTTCGTTAATTGTCATCATCACTATTTACAACATCACCATGGAGTCAAGTGAAGTGTGCCAATTTTATGACCAGAGGTCAATTCTGATCACCGGTGGAACGGGTTTGATTGGTAAATGTTTGGTTTACAATTTACTTAATTCTTGTCCAAACATTGGTCAGATTTATCTATTATTGCGTTCAAAACGTGAATTCACCTTTGACCAGAGACGTGAACGTTACCTGAGTTATGATATATTTGAAAATTTACCCAATTCTAAGACTCTATTGGATAAACTGGTCTTCATTGAGGGTTCAGTTGATGCCAAGAATCTGGGATTATCTCCTGAAGTTTTATCAAAGGTGACAAGTGAGGTTTCCCTTGTATTTCATTCAGCAGCATCGGTCGGATTAGAGGCTGGTTACAAAGGAGCAGAGTAAGTGTCATGTTAATCCTTAATTGTGTATCAATATGCAAATACAATTGGTCCTTGATTAGGGTTAACAAACCGAAACTAAAACGAAACAAATTTTCATACTTAATACAAATGAAAGTTGTTCAATTTCAATGTCAATCAACCAAAAATCAATCAACTAATTGTTTGGGATTGAAAATGAAATGAAAATTTTCTCAACGATAATTAATTGATTGGAAATCGTTAATCCCTTTTCATCTGATTCTTTCTTCCAGTCAAGCTGCAAATTCAAATCTTCGTGGTACCATGAATGTCCTCGAATTGTGTCGATCAATGACAAACTTGGCCTGTTTGGTTTACGTTTCAACGGCTACTGCTTATCACTTTAGATCAATTATCGAGGAGAAAATTTATCCAATCTCATGTACACCGGAAGAGTTTTTAAACGTCATGGAATCAGGTGATTCCAAGGTTATCGATAAATTTTTACGAGAAGACAAGAAAATGTTCCCCAATGCATATACACTGACCAAAGCTTTGTCCGAGAATCTTTGTGCAGCCGAAAATGGTAACATTCCCATTTGCATTGTCCGTCCACCAATTGTTTCCCTTTCCGTTTCAACTCCAACACCCGGTTGGACCAACAAGATGCAAGCATTTAACGCAATGATACTACTCTGGGTCATGGGATTATCTCGCTGTCTAATCTGGGATCCCGATACACGGATTGAAGTGGCACCCGTTGATTATGTTTGCAATGTAATGATCACCGCTGCCTGGTTTACAGCGGTCAAACAGAAGCCCGTTGACTCGGTTCCCGTTTATAATGTTGTCCCCACAGAGGAAAATTCAGTTACCTGGAGAAAATTGTTAGAATATTCTGTTGATGTTGTCTTTGAATCACCCAGTATAAAAGCTCTCCGATGGCCTGGGAGGGTCATGATTTCACCGAAAACACCATTCAAGTTAATCTATTCAGTTGTATTTCAACATATCATTTTCGCAATCTTTTCTGATTTAGCTCTACTTTGCATTGGTAAATCACCTCAGTAAGTAGATTGAAACATTTAACTGATTAATTCATTCATTGATATACAATTTAACATGATCACTATCACAAACCTTTATCCAATCAAATGCTACCACTAGTTTGATATTCAATTGATTTGATTTGATTTCCATTGCAATTGAATATCAATACTTTTATATTGAAATTGTGAATGAAATTGTTACATTTACATTATTCAAATTAACTGTTACCATTAATTTGATTTGATTTGATTTCGTTTTTTTTTTCATTGTTATTCCAGAGTTTGCTCCCTAATGATTAAGATGGTGAAAACAATTAAATCAGTTCATTGGTTCTTAACCAAGGATTGGCACTATGTTAATTCAAATTATTTAGGATTAACTGATCATCTTAATGATATTGATCGGAAATTATTTCCAATGAGTATGAAAGACATTGACTGGAAACCTTATATTCACACAGGTTATTATGGTATTAAAAAGTATGTCCTACTTGAAGATAATGATAATACCAAGGCTGCTATTGGACGATTGAGAAGGTAAACTAAATTAAATTTAATTGTTCTAATGAAGGGAGAAACTAATTGTTAATTTGTATTTGTTTTCCTTTTTCTTTACAACCATAGATTAACATGGATAACCAATGGAGCGATTATCTTTTCCCTTGTTCTAATTACTACAATTTGTATCATTTTGACTTTGTTTCTTTAATCACAATCAACTAATCATCTCATACCTGTAATTATTTTGCTAATTTGATTCATACTTTTACTTGTCTTTTTTTTATATTTACCTTTTTTTTTAAGAAAAAAAATCCAATCAATTTAATCACAATTACAATTGTAATCAGTTGAAATCACAAATCATTTCCTTTATAATCCATTACAATTTGTACAACACTTTTTTTTTAATTATCTATTTTTCCAATGTGATTGATTCACAATTAAAAGACAATTTATTTCAATTTAATGCAACAATTAACTTTCCAAATGATTTCTGTTTTCCCAATATCGGTTTGGTTGATTTTTTAATTACCATTTTTTGATTGTGTGTGTGGGCTAATTGTTAGTGATTAAAAGTAAATTATGTTCCCCAATGTATTGGAGTTTATTAATAGTTGAAAAGTTTTGTGTTTAGCTGGAAGCAATTTAGACGATTATAAACAATTAGCATTGAATTGAATTATTAACTTGGCAAATTTTAATTGTGATTAACTTTTCATGTTTCATTTTTGTCACAATTTAAATGTTTGAAGGTCGATTGATTGTTTAAAGCGATAAATTGATTTATAATCAATCAAAACTAATCAACGATTTTTTTTCTCACTCAGGTAAATAAACTTTACTAAATTGTCATTGGGAAAAAAAATCAACTGATTATAATTTTTTTTCCAGCAATCAACGGTGATTAAGATTGATTAATTGTCTGGTTTGATGAAACTTTTTTCTTGTAGAGTTGATTTAATTGCTAATAACATTTGAAAACAATGATTACAATTTGATGATGGAGATAAATTAATTTGAATCTAATTGTTACTTTTTAAAAATGATCATTTTGATCACTAAAAGTCAGTTAATTGCTCAACCTTAATTTGATCCAATTAAAAGTGAAGATACAATTGTATCAGTTGGTAAAAGCTTAATTGTTGACCTTTAATTGTTGACAATTGGTTAAAATTGTAAAAGATGAGTCAAGAAAAAAACAATCAAAACTCAATTGCAATTCAAATGCGTGTAAACAATTAAATTAAGCCAATAGAGAAATTGAATTAAATTGTTTGTGTATATATAAACTTGACCATTGTCCAGTTTACATTACATTACATCATCATTGAAATTCATCATCATCATCACTAAATTATTTTTGACCATCTAGTATATTTTTAACACTCAACAATTAATATTATTAACAATCTAACTGTGTTAGCATTAAAATTAACCAGGAAAAATTAAATTAAGATAAATTTTAAAGCCAAAAACCAAAAAAAAAGTACAAACAATTAACCCAAATAGTGATGGACAATGAAATGGACAATAGCTTGACCACTAGACTGGACCCATTGGAGGAGGTGAATGTGATTGACAGACAAAATTTGGTGACAACTTATGTGATGCTGGTTTACAATACTTTGTACAATCTTGGTGAATCAATTGCTGGACATTTGATTGGGATGGTCAACCGACCAAATCTGCCCAGGTCACTACGGAAACGGCAACATTGGCCTTCCTCTGAAATGGGTTATATTTATTACCAAAGCTATGGACCAACCGAGTGGGATAGTGTCCTATTTGACGAGTCAATGTCCATTCGGCTTAAGCTGGAATACACGCCGACATCATGTTCAGTCCTTCACGTAATGAAAAGTGAGTCAACCGCGATCAATAATGATCTTAATGACGCTGAAAATGAGCAAATTGAGGCAAGAAGACGGGCCCGTGCCGCTGAACGACCTGGTATAACTCTGATAGAAGATGAATCATCTTCGGATGATAGTGATGACGAACCTTATGATGAGCTACCAATGAAACGCTATTTTGTTAAGACGGAAAGTGAGACCAAATTTATACGGACTTCGAAAGGTGTTCATGCTGAATCAAGAGTTATCTTTGGATTCAAGATCGATTCAACTCCTGAACCACAACCGGATGATCTTAAATGTGAAGTTGTCATTATAACTGAATCGTTTTGTCTTATCGATCGAGGTCAAGTTATTCTTACAAGCACCACATCGGTAAATGAATGTTTCACCAGTGGCGATGAAGATGAAATTAGAACAGAACATGTTAAAACACCGATAATTTGTCTCGCTCAAACGATGGATGAACATACAGGCCGATTATTAGCCGATGGTATCACTACCAATTACACTTCCATCATCAATATAATCTCACTGGCGCTAATTTTACACTTTGGCTCAACTTAAACATCGAAATTTTCATCTCACTCTGGACGTTTCTCATTTCGTATTTTCATTTTTTGAAACTTACCTTCGTTCACTTTGATTTACTGACAACAACATTCATTCATTTATCAAGCATTAAATAAAGATCATTCATAAATTTAATCAATTTCGGTTAATTACTTTTTATTTTTTGTTATTTTCGAAAAAAAAATTCTTCAAATTTGGCGCCACTTTTATTTCTTTCGGTCAAAAAGTAACCATGGAAACGCTGTCAGCATGTTTATCCTTTTGATTTCTTTAAAGGAAATTAGTTAATCAATTTGTTATCCTTTTAATTTTTATTTAGATTTAATTGTTTGACTATTTTTGCTCTTATATTTGGTCGTTAATTGTTGGTCTTAATGGATCCTGAAAGAGTTTCACCTTACTCTTCTGCTTCTCTTGGCAATGTGGGCTTTAAATCACCTTATCTAAATCTTGATCCGAAAATTTTGTTACCTAATCAAGGATCATCTGATTACATTTATCTTGGTAAGAATTAGTAATTATTTTTCATCCTTTCATGTGATTTAATTGTTGTGTTTTCTCGTTGATTAGATGGTGGTAATCGTCCGTCTCGGGGTAGATTTGAATTGGCTTTCAGTCAAATTGGTGGATCTGTCATGGCTGGTGCGGCGGTCGGTGGTATAATTGGTGGTTATAATGGTTTTAAATTGACTTCAGCCAATTTGGGGGCTGTAGCGGGTAGTCAAGGTGCTCAAGCCCTTTCCTGGTCTGTTCGTCGATCACAGATTCTTAATTATATAGCCAAAACTGGTGCTGTTACTGGTAACACTTTTGGTGTTGTTGCTCTTCTCTATTCAGCTATTGGTGTGGGCTTAGGTTTCGTTAATGAAACCAATGAAGATGCTAATACAGTAGCCGCTGGAACTTTAACCGGTATCATATTTCGAGGTTTATCCAACCCTCAAGCTAAACAAGATGTTGCTAAAGAGTTGATTAAATCACCAATTTGGCAAGCTAAATTTCGTCGATCATTAATTGGTGGTTTAATAGGAGCAACATTATCTTCCGTTTTTGTCCTTGCGACAAATAAAGACAAGTATCTATCAAAATGATTTAAATTAACTTAGAGAATCAACCAAAGCCAACTTAGTAAAAGCACCATAAATCAAATTTTCATCTGTAATATTGTGTAAATTAATGTATTAAATCTAGTTCTATTCTAACAATTATAATGGTGGATCAATCAATTCTCATCGTGATAATCATATTCACTCAAAGAAAATGTTTTCCTTCATTTACTTTCAAATGAAATGGTAAAATTAACAATCGAATCTAATTCACCTTTAATTTTCTTTAAATTGTAAGCCTGTTCGCTAAACAATCATAACAATTAAAAGTATACAAGTTTCACAATCAAAAGGAAATTGGGAAAAGGTGATTTTTTTGTGAGTTAAATCATTTATATAATTTTTTTAGCTTCTCGATTATACAAAACGATTTATAAGGTCTCATTTCGTTTGATTTTTTTTTACACAATTAAATTATCACAACAATTTATCATCTCTTTTGATTGGTATGTTTTTTTTTTCATCACTTTTCAGGACAATTTAAAATCGTTTGATGGTTAAACTTTTTTCTCGGCTTCTTGTTTTTTCTTGGCCTTCTCTTCATCTTCCAATTGCTCTTCTTGCATTAACATGGTCACAATATCTTTCATTTGTGATGTTGGTAATTTAAACTCTTCCCTTCCGAGCAATTCCAATACCTGAGAAAGATAGAAAAGAAAAGGTAATTAGTTATGAGAAGAAAAATTTTACAAGTTGAGGTTAATTATTCTTGCACGAATCGATCGTAACGTGAATACAATTTAGTTTTTCATCTAACATTTACATGTTTGGTGGAACGATGAAAATTGATTAGATGTATTCAACTAACAGAGAATAATTAAAGTTTGAATTGGCTGATGTAAGAGAAACAAAGAAACTGGACAATGGAAACATCTTGTTCTCCATCATTAATTAGTGTATTTTTATAGCTTAATTGAGATAATCAGTTCTGCAATTGTAAATTAGAAAAGAAAATGTTTTCTCACCTTGAGAACATGATCAACCTCTACTTTACCATCATGATCGATATCCATTGCATCAAGAACAGCGATGATCTTTTCCATCTTGGTATTATCATCGGCTTTAGATATTTTCTTAACAGCTTCTAATAGTTCATCAACATTGACCATCGCTTCTTGAGTTTTGGCCACTTTATCAGCATCTTTGTCACCACCAGCTAAATCGTTGATTCCTTGTTCAAGGGAATCGCGTTTCGATTCAAGATTAGTAACCAAACTGTCCATTCGTTTGATCATCTTGTCCACACGTTTACCAAGTCTTTTGGCTCCTTTTGAAATTCGAACCTCTTTCATGCCTGATTGATTCAATTCCTCAATATCCTCTTTGTAATCATCCATTTCCTCATGAAGATCTTTCAATTCCTCTTTTTCCAACATAAGATCTCGATTTTCTAAAGCCGTTTCAAGGGAATCAAAATCTTCTGATGAAAGTTCAGTTTCCTTAAGAGCTTCTTTAGGTACAACTTCAATCTTTTGTGCCGCTTTATCGACAATCTCTTCATCGGCCATTTGTTTGAATGCTTCCTCTTCTGCGATTTCCTTCTTGATTGCTTCCTCTTCCTGCCTGATCAATTCAATCTTTGTCTTATTATCAATTTTACCTTCAGATTCACCAAGTTTATATTTGGCTTCGGTCAAAGCTTCTGTAGGTAAGGCTTGAATAGTAGCCTTGAGTTGATCGGTGGCCGGTAGTTGCTCAGGTAGATACAAAACTCTAGATAATAAAAGTAATGAGGGCGGAATCTGTTCATTGAGACTTAATTCAAGCCATTGAGCCAGTTGATTGCGAAGTTGAGCAACTGGTACACCGAGAGCTCTCATTCCCCTGGATCGACAAGCTTGTTGAAGCTCAGGTACAGTGAGACTGTCGATTCCTTCCTTCATAATCATACGATCATCAGCTTTTAAGCTTCGTAGTTTCATTCGCAATTGGAAACGCAAAAAATTACTTGTACCTAAAGCTTTTAATTCTAATAAACGACACAATGCCATCAATTGTGGACGACTTAAAGAATCAAGAGTAATCTCATCTTCGAATATCTTGGAAAATCGTAGTATATCTTCATTACTCGCTTGCTCTCCTGATTTACGAATCTGTAAGAGTGAAAAAAATAGAAGAAAATATTAAAATCAGTAAACTAGAATCGTAATGAAAGAGGAAACTATCAATTAAGACCAAACAGATTATCGTGTCTGGTGATGATAGAGACAAGGAAGTAACAATTTAATTTGTTTACCTTTTCAAAAAATTCTGCAAACTCTTTTGCTCTCTCTGAATGTGATTCTCCCTTTGATTGTAAGGCCATTTCATCTAAAGTGGTTTGTAAAAATTTGGCCATTTCGAGTTTAACTTTTAATTGTTGCTTGATTTTCGATTCCTGTGAGAGAATGATTAAAGAAAATTAGAGGGAATTTAAGATTCTTGATGCCATAGTAACAAAATCCATTCAAATTGAATGGTGAAAATGTGGTAACTAGAGTAATCGGATTGGAAAATTTCTCATAGAAATTACAATCACCAATGATCATCGATAATTAGATTAAATTTAGTTACCTTATCAGAGGCTGTTTGGAAAGTAGAAGGCAACATGTTGGGGAAAAATTTTATGAAGACAGGTAATAATAATTCCATGAATGGAACTATTATGAAAACAGAGAATGGAAGTAAACGAAAAAGATCGGCCGTTGTTCGAACCAATTGTTCATGTTCCCTTCGAGATAATTCCTTTGATCGTAAAACTTTCCATGCAAGACGAGAAGATATTTGAATATCAATAAATAGAAGACGAAAACCATGATAATAGTGAATAATTTCATCCTTGATTCGTTTACCAAGACTCCTTTTCGGCTTTGTATCATCCAATTGTTTACCTGAGGCATCAGTTTTACCAGAAGATGATGAAATAACCGTTGAAGATGCTGTTGATCCTGTTGTTGAAGAAGATGATGATATCTTCTGTTGATTTTCTTTCTCTTTAACCTTTAAAGCTTTAAGAGTAGATTCTACTTTAGAAGATTCTTTTTCCCATTTTGATGATGATAAGTGAATATATCTAATAGAGTTAACAGGAGAAAGGGGCAAGAAACTGGTTGTACTCAATGAAGTAGAAGGTCTCAGGTAATAATTAACATGATTACTGTTAATTGTTGAACTATAATTAACATTATTATTATTATTGACTAAGGTTTTACTATTTATAACACTACCGATCGGTGTTTTTCTTGTTGTTGACCAGGAACGAACATTGGAAAATTTTATTACACAATAATGAGAATACTTTGTACATCGACCAATAACATGGTAATTGAAGAGACCATTTCTCACCCCAAGGAGAGAAGATGATAACATGTTGACATGAGATAATAATTAAATTCGATGACAGTAAAATACTTTAAAAAAAAAAGCAGAACAATTTAAATTGGTAACAATAATTAACCAATTAGTTAATCTTCAACATGTTGGAGACAGAAAAGAAAAAGGTAAATAGACTGGAATTAATTTCTATTCCGGTAGATGGCGCTGCGAATTCGCTTGTGGCTCCATCTGGTTGGAAATTCTCATTAAACAAATTAATTTGAAAATAAATTCAAATCAAGTTACAATTAATTCAGTTGAGAGTTTAATTTGTTTTAGTATTTGAATGTTTTTAAATGAAAATTTGTATCTTGGAATCTTGAAATTGAGATTTTTATTTGACACTATGTTTGAAATGACTTTTGATTGTATTTTTTTCTTCTCATTTGTTGGAACGATCGGCTTATTGAGTGAGATGCATTCGAACACAAATCGAACCGTTTGTGAGATAAATCGATAAGGCGAATGAGTAGTAAGGAAAGAAAGAGAATTAGAAAGAGAAACTGTTCGATCTTTCGAATCGATTTAATGAAATTGAAGAAAAATCGAAAGTTTTGTGAAAATAATCGATTACTTTTGATCTTTAATCGAATGTTTGGTTTTCTGGTAAATGGAAAAAAATTTTGTTCATTTTCAAGTGAATTCATTTTCATGTAACTTGTGAAAATGTTTTGACAATTTAATTTTTTTTTCTTCTCTTTTGTTAATTAAGTTAATTTCTTCACTATTATTTCATCATTAGTTCATGTTCAATCTTCTTCTCTAACAGAAGTATTTCATTGGATTCAAGTGAGTGAGTGGATCGGATTGGAGACTTTCTTTTCTTCTTGTGGGTTGAAGGTTTTGTGATAGAATTTTTTTTTTGTTCTTTCTTCGCCTTTTGGTTTTTTGGAATACAAGTTACATTGTTCATTTTGTTTTTCTATTCACCTGATCAACAGTTATCATCATTATATAGTCAATATATATATTCAACATGGGTGCCGATATGGAATTAAATGTTGGCTCCTGGCAGTTAACCATCTATGTTACCGACCTTAAAGTTGAAAGGGTTTTACGTGTTAAAGGTGATCTTCACATCGGTGGTGTTATGTTGAAACTTGTTGAAGATTTAGGTAATTATATTAATGGAACAGTTATTTTCTTTACAATTAACTGTTTCTCTTTAAATCCTGTTTTTTAAAATTTACTTTCTATTTTCTTCTCTCTTTGTGATTACAAAATTTACAGTCAATTTCATCTCTCCATCAGTTCAAAAAAAAACCTCATCCATCTTTCACTTTTTGATTGTAATTCTCTTCACTTTTTATTATGTTCTTTTCTCTTTAACCAAATTGTGACACTATTTTCTCCATCTTTCTTTTCCTTCTCTCTCTCTCTCTCTCTCTCTAGTGATATATTATATACAAACGAATCCTATTTTCTCTCCTACGTTAGTTTCTTCACTTTCTATTTTCCAACTATCAAAAATATCACTTTGCTCTAGTTTCATTTTTTTTTCTTCTCTTTCTCTTTCTTCCTTTCGTTTCTCTGTGATCTTCTAATTTGTTTACATCTCTCTTTTTTTTCTTTCTCAGATGTTGCCATTGATTGGTCTGATCATGCCTTATGGTGGCCTAAACGAAATACATGGCTATCCCGAACCCGAACAACTTTAGACCAATATGGTGTTCAGGCGGATGCATTATTACACTTTACGCCCATGCATAAAACTTTACGAGTTCAATTACCCGATTTAAGGTTTATCGATGCTCGAGTTGACTTTTCAATTAAATCTTTTACCGCAGTTGTTCAATTATGTAAAGATTTAGGTTTACGACATCCAGAAGAGTTATCCTTTTGCCGTCCCTTAACGTTGGATCACTTGAAACGTAATTACAAATCAATCGGTGTTAGTCCACGTCAACGAGCCAAGGATGCTATGGGTCCAATTGTTCAAAATAACTCCAATGTATCCAAAATTAGTACACCCGATGGTGGAGGTGGTGGTGGTTTAAATAATAAACTAGATGATCCCAGGTTACAATCAGCATATCCACCATCACCCTGGAATGGTAACATTGCCAGTATTTCATCTTATAACGGACAAGTGACACCAGATAATTCTTTTGGCTTTAATAATGATCCCATTTTGCCTAATCTTGCAACAAGTCCACCCACGCCTTCATTAGAAGCTAAAAATGGTTTGTTGAGGCCAAAAAGTTTAATTGAAAGAGCTCGATTAAATACTGGTTGGCTTGATTCATCTAGATCATTATATGAGCAAGATGTTAGAGAATATGATTTGCTTCTATTACGATTCAAATTTTACTCCTTCTATGATATTAATCCAAAGTTAGATACCAATCGAATTAATCAAATCTACGAACAGGCTCGTTGGGCCATCCTAACGGAAGAGATTGATTGTACTGAGGAGGAGATGATGATGTTTGCCGCCTTACAATTACAAGTCAACCTACAATCAAATAATCCATTACCGGAGAAACAACGATCAAGCGCAGATGATGATATTGATTCAGAATTGAATGAGCTCCAGATGACTTTAGAAGGAACCAGTATATCATCACCATTAAGCTCTAACAATATCACCCACGTTCCTGAGTTGGCGGATGAACTTAAATTCATGAAATCTCGTAGATTTACGTTGAAAAGCCTTAAAAGGTACTATTTTGTCTTTCGGGATAAAAGACTCTCCGTTTACAAATCAAGAGAGGATAAAGCAGGAGAACCTGTTTTCTCACTTAACCTACGCGGTTGTGAAGTTACACCTGATGTAAACCTAAGTCAAGCAAAATATGGAATACGACTTGAGGTACCAAGTCACGATGGTATGACCGAATATCTAATACGTTGTGATTCTGAAGGTCAATATGCTCGCTGGATGGCAGGATTTAGATTGGCCTCAAAGGGTAAAACAATGGCTGACGCCTCCTACGAACATGAAGTCAAACAAATATTAGATTTCCTTAGTATGCAACATCCGGCTCCCGCTCCAGCCATTAATCCTAACCAAATAGACCTCAATGTTGATGATTATGTAGCATCTCGATTTCTTAGGAAATTCAAGGGAAAATCACAGGTAAACAGAAAAGAATAAACTTTTCCTCTCTCTCTCTCTCTCTCTCTCTTCTCAATTACCTTGTTTGATTGATTTACACCCTAACCCTATGTTACCATTGACCAGAAAAACAATAGAATCAATAACAAATATTATTATTACTATTTCTTTATCATCAGATCACCCAACGAATCCTAGAAGCTCAAGCTAATGTTAAAGATTTGAACAACATTGAAGCCAAAATGAATTTCATAAAAGCTTGGCAAGCGCTTCCCGAATATGGAATAAGCCTGTTTGCTGTCAAATTTGACGGAAGCAAAAAAGAGGTTGGTTTCAAAACAATATTACCAAAACTTTAATCATTAATAATTATATATTAATCAAAAGTGTTACCAATAGATTTCATTGAAAATTGACTCAACAGTCATTTCCATTCTTTGGTGATAATCCTTGATTTCTGGTGTATTTGAAAAGCTCATTATGATGTAATGTCATCAAGTTAAGATTATCAAGACACTTTATTCATCTTCTTCATTTTCATGTTAGGGTTTATCCTCTTCTGTTTTTATCTTTAGCACTTCCATTTCTCTTGAATTATCTCTTTCCTCTCATGAATTCCTGGATCAGAATGAATGGTCTTCATTCGCCTCATTTCTTTCTCTCTCTCTCTCTCTCTCTCTCTCTCTCTCCATGAAAACTCTTTTTACAGAAGTCACTTGTTTACTATTTAAACGTCATAAAGCTTATCATCTTCTTCCTTTTTCTGTCTCTATTTATCATCTTCTCCCACTTTTTCTTCTCTTTTTGTAACAAAAACAAGCTGATTAACCTTCGAGTATTTCTTAATTATCCCAATATTCAAATCTCTTTCGATAGTTATTTGGACAAAATCTTATTCATTAGCTATATTGTCTAACTTTATTGACAATTAATCATTTAATATGGTCATTCAGATTTTAATAAGTAACTTTAATCAACAATTAGCTCGATCATAATGTTTCATTATCCTATGAAATAGGAAATTATTTACAGGTTGTATTTTTTTCTATTGATTGTTTTGTAGTTGTTTTTTGTTTTCCATCTTTTTCTCATTCAGGAAACAAGCCTTAACATTCTCACTCTGTTTTGTTTTCATTTATAGTGAAATTCATTATTCAACTTAATTTTAATCATCATTTCCTTGATTGATAGTTAAACTTAAATTTGTCAGCTTTTCGATTTTTTAATAAAATAATAATTTATCTATTTCTCTTTTCACCCGATCACCTTTAACCCACACTTAATCTTTGATTTTTGTCATCTCCATCATCTTTCCGAAGGATGATGACAAGAATGATGCTCATTCGAATGAGAAATGATTTGTTTTCAAAATTGGATAATTTTTATGTTGTTTTTCGCACATAAAAAGATGTAAACTAGATCAAGAAGTTTTCAGAATCTTCATCTTTTCTCTCATCTCAACTTTCCTTTCGTTTTTTATTTTCATCTTTCTCTGTCTCTGTCTCTTTCTCTCTTCATATTCAACCTTCCTATGTGAATTTCATCATCAACTGTACGAAAAATGAAGATACTCAAAAAATAGGAAATGAACATGAGCTTAATTCTGGTTATGCCTAAAGCTCAAGTAACAAAAATCAGGTTAAACAGGAGAGATACATGAATATTAGGCTGAAATGTTGCCAAGATTGATTTCAGTCGTTCAAGTTTACAGTAAATTTAGGTCCTAATATTTGTTTTGTTGATATTTTCATAGAATTTTCGTCAAATCTTTGCTCTCTATTCATTAAATATGTGTAGAAATTTTAGACGAAAAAAAGTTTCAACTAGAAACAAACACATTTATTTACCTGTTGAACTTTTTTCGCAAGACTTTCAAGACCATTCATTGATTCATTTAATTATTTCCTAATTTTCACCACCACAATTAGTAAAACTCTCACCTTTGTATCAACCAAATGATAGAATAACAAAAGTTGACTTATTAAATTCTGCCTCTTCCATCACTATTATCATTTACCTACAATCCCACAGAGCTATAAATCTATCAGATTCTTTTTTTGTTTACTCCAATCTATTTTTCTTTTTATTCTCACTCACTCACTCACTCACTCACTCACTCACTCTCTTTCTACCCTTCTGAACTTTTCTTTTTTTACTCTCTCTTACATCACCCACTCTCATCATTTCCACCATCACTTCCTCTCCCTTAGAGAGAAAGAGATAAAGACAGAGAGTGAGACTAAACAACGCTCTGCCTGGTCGGCTAAATTTGGCTAATTTTTTGGGAACGTCTGTAGGTGTTTTTCAAGCAACTACAACCAAGGCTGCTTGATAACACTAAACTACTATATACTGTTTTCTGAATGATGAGGATAAGGATGAGGATGAAGATGAAGATGCACTTGAAGCTTTTCCAAAAATGATGCTCGTTGTTATTTTACGGAAACACTTGCTAAGGTTTTCTCATTATTATCTGTTACTCTTTATAACAATTTCTGGTTATATTTTCCTCCATCTTTTCAAGTTGATTATTTTAGAAACTGATTGTTAATATTTGGACACTTGATCTTGACAATCAAGAATAAATATTGATGATAGATTATTGATTAAGTTTTTCTTTTTTTTCTCTTTGGTTGATTAGTTAACCATTGAGATTAAAAATTGTTAAATTAACATGATTCTAATAATTTATCTCGTTTTGATGAGTGTTTAAGTTTTTCTCCTAGTTGATTTAGTACTTTAATCCTTAATATATTTTTTTAATTCTTGGCAATCGTGATCTTTTTTTTAAACTAATCAAAAAATAGCATTCGATTGCTTAATTTGTTTGGTTTATCATTAAAGTGATTGGAAAATATTACCTACCATTGTCATTGATTCAGCTTTTTGTAATGAGTTTTCTTAAATATTCATAATTTATTTTTTTTTACTTCTGTAAATTGTTAATTTCAAGGTAACTTGAAACATTTAATTGATTGATTGATTGATTAATTACTTTTTAATCTTTAATCTTAAACAGGAACTATTGGGAGTCGCTTTTAACCGTCTATTGAAAATGGAAACACAATCAGGAGATCATTTAAAAACGTGGAGATTCAACACCATGAAAGCCTGGAATGTTAACTGGGAGGTTAAAAAAGTTCTGGTACAATTCGAGGAGGAAGATGTCCAATTTTCGTGCCTTAGCGCGGACTGTAAAGTGGTCCATGAGTTTATCGGTGGATACATTTTCTTATCAATGAGGAGTAAAGATCAAAATCAGACCCTTAATGAGGATCTATTTCACAAATTAACTGGAGGATGGGTTTAAATTTAAACGCTGGTTTGATTAACCAGAGGAAAGAAAAGAGAAAGGCAACAATTAAATGATAATCTTTATATATGCATAATCCAATCGAGACAATCAAAGACCTTCAAAAATTAACAGTTAATAACATAAAACGGAAACTCAATTAGAGACCAAGTTAACACAATCACTGTTAAATCATCAACATCAATTACCATAATTATTCACACTGATGATTATAAATTATTATATTTAATTAATAAGATTATTTATATGTACTTATCACAAAGTATGGATACACAATTACAAGAAGAGGACACAATCAATCAAATCACAAAATCTTCGCCCTAAACAAAAGATGAGGATGGATCACCTTAACTCCTACACATCTTCAATCTTGACACTTTTTCATTGTGTTCATAAGTGAAACAATCAGGACAAAATCTTAATCAATTCACCTTAATTACAAAATCAACTCGTGCTAACACAGTGCCAAATAATTTGATGGAAAACTATCAACAATCAATTTTACACTTAAACAAACACACATAGACACTTTGGAATTGATTATTTCCATTATAATTTCTTCATAATTTAACCTACAACAAACTACTACCATTATTAAGTCGATAATAATAATAATTAACGATAACAATTAACAATAATGACTACAAATAGTTACCACAAATCAAACCCACCTCTCCCTTTGATGAAATGACACTTTAATTGTTCACCTAAATTTGTGATTCTATTTGTTTTGATTTCTCCAACTTCTTGATCATGTAAATTGTTCACCTTCTCATTAATTATTATTATTATTTTTCTTCTCTCATCAACTAATCCCTTAACCATTAACCCTAATTGTATGACCCAAAAGTTATCTTATCCTAATCTCAACAATTGTGGCAATAGTTAAATAGTGAACTTTAATCAAATCGAATCAACGAGAAAAAAAAACAAAATCACACCCAGAGAATAGAATTGAATCTATTCATCTCTTCAAGCAATCAAATTTCTATTCGTCTTCCTTATCCTCCTTAATTGTCACTCATCAATTTCCTCATTTTCTTTTCTCTCTTAATCTTAATTATCAACTTTTCAATTTGTCATTTGAAAAAACAACATCACATCTCAACGAACACACAAAAAAAAACAATTGCAAACTTTTTCCTCGACAAAATAAGGTAAACAAAATAAGAGAAACATTTAATTTCCATTGTTTTAATTAAAGAAAATAATAAATACTTAATACCAATTCATCATAAGTAAACATTAATCGCGATTAAAATATACTCCGGGGTGGAGCTAGTCGATCAATTAATCGAAAAATGTTGACTATCGAAGTTAATTAATTGTGTTTGTCAAATTATCTTAATCCTTACCTAGCAATCAATCAATTGTCTCTTTCAATCAATGTCTTTTTTCAATATCCTTGAACGGAAACTGTTGCCACCAGTTCCTCATAAATTACCGGATCCCAAGTTCGATGATGAAATTTACCGACAATTTAATCGTTTACGAGTTCGATCTCCAAAAATGGACGAAGATGACAATTTACCCGGTGACACAGTGAGACGTTCATTTCGAGGTGACCATGAAATGTCCAAACCTCGAGAAGGGCTGGTCAAGGTAGCGGCTGAAATTTTCCGTTATCGTTTTTTATCCTGTTTCGAGCAATTGACCGAAAATGATTCTGGTAGTTTACAAGGACGAATCATAATTACCGATCCATCGAGTTGGTCAATGGTTGATCGAGCGCTTGATTGGTTGACACTCAAACGCGCCGGTGTTTCTTGTGTTTTCACCTTGAACGATAAGGTTTCCAATGAGTTGACTCGGTCACTTCAGATAATCTATCTGATTAACATTGGCCATTTAAATGGTCGCGAGTTTGATTCGTTTCTGCTTAATCTTGCCGATCGTGAGTGTCGATCTTGTTGTATTTTCTTGGCCTATCCAATTGATCCGTTTAGTGCCAAAGGATCGTTGAGGCTTAAAATTTTACACGAATTGATTAGCAAAAAGTCAATTCCTTCCCCTTGGATCGTTGGTGCTTTTCATGCTCCGTCACCTTGGTTGGCGTTGATCGATCATCAAGTTAATCTCAACTATTTGCGACAATTGGTCAACTCACCTCGGTCATCCCAATTCTCTAAGGCCAATCGAATTGTCTGTTGTCGACTTGCCTTTCGTCTGGTTAATTTGTTCGAACAGATGAACCAATATCCGATTGTTCGCTTTTTGAAAACTTGGCATTCGCACAATCAGTTGATTGGTCATTTTTTCGTTAAAGGGATGGCCGGACTTCGAGAGAAACGACGATCTTCACCTAAAGGACGAGGATCAGATTCGCAAACAATTAAATATGAATCGGATTATCTTCTTGTTATTATTGATCGATCTGTTGACCTTTTAACGCCAATTCTTCACGCTGATCATTATGAAGCTTTCGTTGAACAGGAATTAGAAACTCGATTTCCAAGATCAACCGATAAACTTGACTCAGAGATACGAAATGTTCACATAAACGAAGTTACCTCTAAATTGAAATCTCTTTCGGAATCATTTAAATCAATGTACGGTCAAATGTCGGTTAAAGATCAAGAGGTTACCATGAATTATGTCCGTTCTCATCTCGCAATGGTCACTCGATTAACGGCAAAGATTAACAATGGATATGGAATTTTACTCAAAATGGAGCGTAAAGTGTTGAAACAATTGAACAAGAATAATCCACAATTAAGGAAAGTCCGATCAGCCGAAACGGACACGGATAAGAGTATAGTTGATCCACCATTTGGGAAAAATGCCTTTAATCCCGAACTTAGTCCCTTAGATCTTCATCGACTTGTTATAACTCGATCACTTGTTTCACAGAAACTCTTAGGGTCTCGATACTTGAGGGCATTCCTAGGAAAAGATCACTTTCACGCTAAAGATACAATAACGGTCTCCAAATATGCGAATCTAATTAAAACTTGTTACGATAAAAGTGGTTGCGGTCAATTTGGATTCCCTGTAATTGCCAATCTAATTGAGGCAATTTATTCGGGCTCATTGAGAGAAGATCAATTCCCGTTCGCTGAGGCCTGGATGAGAAACTCGTCACCTCGAAAAAAACTGTGCATCTTTGTCCTCGGCGGTATTTCTTACAATGAGGTTCAGCTATCGGGTGTTTATACCTCACCTAATCAAGAAGTCACATTAATTTCTGACAATTTACTAACTGCGAGCAGTATTTTGTCTAAATTGTTTTCTTAATTGTTCACATCATACATAATCAAGTTAATTTTCAATTCTACCTTCCTAATTAAAACCATCTGTTTACAGTTAGAGCTTAAATTGTCAATTAATTTGGTTATTTAAAGCAAACAAATTAAAATCTGATTAAACATTGATACCTTAATTTGTTGATGATGTTGATGTGGTTTCAAATATCAGCCACCAACAATTAACTTTTTTATTTAGCTTGAAATATGTTTCAGTTAATTGTTGTTAATCAATTGTTACTTGTTGTCTCATCATTAATCTTTAATCTAGTTAATTGTTCAAATCAAACGGATGATAATTCAACAATCACGGCATCACCAACATGTAGTAAGTAATTAAAGACAATTAGTTGATCATTAACAGTAACCGTCTAATTGAATTACAGATTGTGGTCAATTTGATTTAATTGATACAAACTATTGGCCCTGGTTGGTTAGAATCAGGTAAATAATCAACTTGTTTACTACAACAATTTACTAATTGATTACTCTTGATTGAATCTATCAAATTAGATCACAATTTGCCTCTAAAAACCTTAATTGTTTTGGTGTTTTAATCAGTTCATTTAATATATTAACGGCGGGCCATTGTGTTTACTCATCTAAATATGGTCTAAGTGATCAAGTAATTGTTTACTTACCAACATCACAATTTAATTGGATACAATTAAAAGTATCCAAATACATTTACGATTCCCGATCCAATGGTACATCTCATAATATTGCTTTAATTACCTTAATTAATCCAGTGCCAACTAATTACAAACCAATTTGTTTAACAATTACTGAAGATGTACCATCAGCAATTGTAATTGGTTTTAATCATGATAAAAATACAACTAAATCACTTGTCCAACAATCAAACGTTGAATATATTAACTGTGAGTATTGAAAAAGATGAACAATTAACGACTAATGCTAATGAATTAATTTTAATTGCTCTTAGTGGAAAAGTGTGAAAATGAAAGATTATCATGGATTAATAAATTACCACAATTACCTGTTAATCAACGTTTAAAGTTCACTGGTTACAATAAAATTGACTCCTCAATGTTATGTGCCAATGATACAATTAACGATAAATTTGATATTAATCATACAAATAGATTGAATTTGGTTAAATCTAATTGTAAACACAATTCAGGTGAACCTTTAATTAGTAAATCAAATGACCGATGGTTTCTGGTTGGTATTGTTTCTGGAACTTGGTTTAATCATGATTACAATGATTGTCTCACATTATTGCCAACAATTTACACTGGCATTTGGTATTATGCTGAATGGATTAACTATAATTGTATTGATTGTTGTTTAATTGAAACAAATTGAGTCTCCCTGACAATTGTTACATTTAATTGGTTGGTTTAATCATGACCATTGAATTGAATTTAATTGTAGAGCTGCAAAAATGATTATTTATTTATATTGATTGTTGTTTGTTTTACATGATGATGATTGTTATCGATAAATATACAAACATGATTATTGTTAATCATGTTAATTGTTGATGGTGATTAAAATAAATTAGAAAAACAAAAACACAATTAAAATGGAGAAAATTAAATTTGATTGATTTTTTTTTTCTTGTTGAAAGTTGCTTAAAACCCTTTGCATCTTTTAATCCAGTTAAACTATTAATTATGATCGTTGATTGTATTTTTTGATTAGTTAATTTTGTCTGCAATTGTTTAATCAATTGTTTTATTAAAAGTCAAATTAATCATTTGATTGGTAATAATATTATTTTTTTGTCGCAATTGTTTTGGTTTTTTTTGTTTGTTTTTGTCTTTGATTTAAAAATATTTAAATTTTACTATCTTGAGGTGGGCAGAAAATGGCCCAAGGGTGGAGGAGGAGGCGGAGGTGGATGATGAGAGTGGTGGTGATGTGATCCATATGATGTTGCTGGTAAGTGATGGTCAAGTTGACCCACTGAGGAAGATGAAGAGGAAGATGTTGGACGGACTGAGGTAATTAAACTATCGGTAAAGGAATCACCCGGATGAGGCCAACCGGTCATTCCGGTGAAAAGTGAAGTGGACAGAGCGGTGGCTTTTGCACAATATAAGGATGATGGTGGTGATGAGGATGAAGAAGAGGAAGAGGTTGTGGTTGGGGTTGAAGGTAAAATGGAGGATGTTGTGTTATTATCTGTTGGCTCAATGTAAAGGGAGGAAGATGATGAAGAGGAGGAGGAAGAGGGAGTATTATTGATGAGATTTACTGTTGTTGGTGTTGCGGTTGGTCGTTGATAAAAATCATTGACTAAAGTTGAACTTGCTGTTGGAGGTGGAGAGGATAAGACATCATGAATTTGATGGTGAATCTGATGATGAGGATGATGGTGATGATGATGATTAGATGCGGCAGATGAATAGACTGAATTGTGAGAGTAATCGGAGACAAGTCTACTCCAAGCGGTTGATCCTGTCCCACCGAGATGAGTGTAACCAGAACCAGCTAATTGATGGTGGTGGGAATGAGGATGGTGAAAGGCATGATGAGAAGGGGAGGAGATGGAGGATGGTGAAGAGGAGGAGGAAGAGGAGGAACTGAGTGGAGGTGGACCAAGAAATTGGTGCATGTAAGCTTCAAGGTGATGGGTTGAGGATGAGGTTGGTGAGGTTCGTGGATGATGATGACCAATATCTATATCGTTGTTGTTGTTGTTTAAATTATTTTTATCACTTCCACCGTTACCATTGGTAATTACTGTTTCAAATGTGTTACAATTTGTTGATGAATTTGTAGCACTTGTATTTGAGGTGCCAGATGATGAGGATGTTGAAGATGATGCGGTTGATGGAGATGATATTGATCCATGAATTGGATTACAATTATATCCATTAGATGACCCGTGGAGATGTTGTTGTGAACTGTCACCATTTCCGATTGGACCTAAGGGATTGATTGAAATGGAAAATAAATTTTCACAATTTAAAGATAAACTTTGGGGAGATGATGATGATGTTATATGATGATTGGTGTTGATTAATCTTGACAATCGGTTGTCAAGTTGATCAAAATCAAGATAATTAGAGGATGAGGATGAGGAAGAGGATGATGTTGACTCTTTACCAATTAATCCATAGGATCCATTGAATCGTCCAAGTTGTTGTGGGGTTGTGGGTGGTGTTGGTGGGCTTTGATTGTACCCAGGAGATGGACGGGTCAGTGAATAGTTTGTCAGGTAGCTTGGTGCTGATGAATGAGACGGAGATGATGAGGAAGATGTTAAACCAATTGATCCGGACGAAGGTGATGAAAATGATGCTGATTGTTGCCTGTGATGATTACCAATGAAAGAGGACATCATTTGATTAACGTTAATTGTATCATTATGATGATTATCATTATTATCATCTTTAACGATATCTGTATCGTCATCATCACGTAACACTGATGATTGATTTAATTCATCAACATGATGGAAATGATGTTGCATTTGTTGTTGTTGTTGTTGTTGTTGAGGATGTTGTTGGTGTTGGTGTTGCTGTTGTTGTTGTAGGGAATGATGAAATAGATGATTTTGTTGATGGTGATGATGATGAGCTAATTGATGATCAAATGATGATCCATTTGATGGTGAAGGCTCACTTGGTGGACGGGAAATTGGACTTCGAGAGACATCATCTTCAGCCAAAGTTTGATTACTACAAGAATTAGATCCAGGTGAATCTATTGATGATGAACAGTTGAGATTAGTCGATGAATCTTGACCACCACCCGATGACCCTGTTGACCCTCGTCCATGTCCATTAGATTTAACTGGTTTTCGTCTTCTAGGTTGATACTTGTAATCGGGAAAATCTTTCTTATGTTTAGATCGTAATCTTTCAGCTTCAGCAATGAAAGGTTTCTTTGCATCATCATCAAGTACTCTGCTGTTAACAATTAACACACGGAAACGGAAACAGAAGAAAAAAGATAAAAAAATTCATTAAATGATCTGAAATTTGACCAGTACAATTGATTAACAACCATTTCCACATTGAAAATTCATAGATGATGCAAACATTGGGTGAAAGCTGAAAATATTGAAATAACAACAAGAAGCAAAAAACTTAACCTTAACCCGGGAAAAAAATCTTCATCATCATCATCATGATTATCATTATCATCCCTAAAGAAGCTGAATACAAAAAAAACAAGGTATCATTTTTTTCATCAGGTATCATCACTTGCTCCTGGTTTCTCCTACACCTCAACCTTTGATATAAAAAAAATGATGAGGATGATGATCAAGATGATGGAAGGTAAGTTTTACACCAATAGTAATTGCTGAATCAATTGTCATCAATGTTTGTGGAAAATGTATCATTAAAGTTAACAGTTTCTCAATAGTGGCTATTTTCAAGATTGATGAACAACAATTGATGAGTTACAATGAAAAAAAAAGTTATATTCAAGTTTTGCCTCCTTAATTAAGGGGTTTGCTGGTTGACCCTCGGTGGCTTTTTTTATATATTAATATATCATTTATTCATGAAGCTCAAATATTATCATTTGCAAGATTGTTTCCAGAGCTAATCTATTTGAACCTTTCTCTCTGTCTGAATATTATCATGAAAAAGTATCAAGTCAATCAACAGGTAGGAATTGGGAGTGAAATAAGATTGAGTGGAAAAAAAATATTCACATTACATGAAATTGGATTAGGTTTAATTGTGGATTGCAAATGATTGTTGCTATTGTATTTGGGATGGAAATTAGGATAAGATTATATGTAGATTTAAATTGTGAACATTATAACCTTAAATTGTTGGCATAATTTGGTACAAACTCAGTTTATCACTTTTAATTATCATTAAAGATTATGATTAAAACAAACAGTTAACATTGGAAAAGTTTTTTCTTTCCTTTTGCTAAATTGAATAGTTTAATGTTTTAATTGCTTTTCTCACGATTTCACCACAATATTTACAACAGACAAATCAAGTTAACAACAACAACAACTAAATTGTTACTCTAATGTTTATGATAATTTGTTTATCATTTATCCTTAACTAGAGCTAATTAGTTAACTATATAAATTCAGTGTTTAAATCATATAATAATCTAATCTTGTAAATGGTTATCATTTCCATTGCAATTGTAAAAACATTGAGTTTGCAGTTTTGTATCTCAACTAAATTGTGGCCTCCGAAAAAGGAAACTTTTTAATTAGATTGAGATTAATCATCTCTACTCAGTTTATGATTTATTGTTGTTGTTGTTGATTAATTGTCGCAAAGGATTATAAAAGAGAGAGAGAGAGAGAGAGATGTTTGAATTAAGATACATTACCTCCAGAGTCGTCCAAGGGTTTTGCTTAATTCAGCGTTGTGAAGATGAGGATATTGTTCAGATAACTTTCGGCGAGCGGCTTGAGCCCAGACCATGAACGCGTTCATTGGCCTTTTAACGTGAAGTTTAATCTTGGACGCTGAAGTTGGTTTGCTTTTGGTTGTCACTATAGTCCAATCATATTCACCAAGAACTTTGCTAACTGCCTCGTTAATTGTTGAGGTTAATTGATCAGTACGATTACCTGATGATTTCCGATTATCATTATTTTTATTGGGAACAGAGGAAATGGTCAATGAGATAACATTTGATGATGAGGATAATGTTGTTGGTGTTTGTGGTGAGGTTGTAGTTGCCGTTGTGGTTGTTGATAGTGATGACGATGAGGGAGATGATGTACAAGATGAGGATGAAGATGATGAATTTGGTGTTAGTGTCACTAATTGTGATTCGTTGCACTTTGAATTGATTAAAGTTGGTAGTTTAACATCACTCATGTTAGGTTCTATTAATTGTCACTCAATTATCATAAAAAAAAACTTTGCAAACTTTTAAACTGTTGATATAATTTAAAGGGAAAACTTTAATAATATTTACTATTTGCAACCAATTAACCGACTGATAATCAATGAATGAAAATGATTGATTTAATTTTGCAAGAAGATCTCTCTCTCTCTCTCTCTCTCTCTCTCACTCTATGAGATTCTTTATCTTCCTGTTGTTAAATTAAATTGTGACGATTGATAATGTTATGTAATAACGATCATATTGATGACATTAATCAACACTTAGAATCAACAATGAGAAGGATAAACACAATTTAATCACAGATTTTTTTTCTCGAGTAATTAAACACTAATCACTTTTTGTTTGTATCTAAATTGTTGCAGAAATAACGGATTAAGGTTATAACATTGATCCCGATCCGTTAAGATTGAATAGCTCAGTTGAAATAGAGAGAGAAAGAGATTAATGAGAAAAATGAATCGAATAGGAAGATAAAAGTTGAGAGAGAGATTATGATGATGATAAATATTCGGGCGTGAGGAATAACTTGATTGGAGGTTTAATCAGATGATGAATTTCAGGAGAAAGAGATAGAGATGATTCTGGTGGAGATGATGAGGAAAAGAAATGACTTGAAGATCTAATGATGACGATGATCAAAATTATATCAACTGAAAGTAAAATTTGATGAAGAGAAATGATGATCAGAAAGATGACGATTTTTACTAAAACATTAGAAGAGAAAAAATTTTCTTTTTTCTCAATTTTTAGAATTTGATTTTTTTTTCTCTACGCTTTCATTTCTCAGGGTTTTCAGTTCAAATATTATACACACACTATCACAAAACAGAAGATTGAGAAAGAAAGAGAGAGAGAGAGAAATGATGATGATGAGCTAGAAAGATGCCTGGATGATGAAAGAAGATGTTGAGCTGAATAGGCGAGAATAAGAATGTAGGAGGAGTTTACAAAAGATGAGGATGAAGATGAAGATCCAGTAGAAAAGATGAAGTTGCTCCCGTGGAACTTTTTCCTTGTGATGACTCGTTGCCCAAAAACAAAGATGAACACTGTGTATGCGATGATGATGATTAAGATGAAGATGAGGATCAAGATGATGATATAGTTTCTCTCTCTCTCTCTTTCTCTTTTTCGTCTTTCTTTGTAAAATCATCTTTATTTTTCGTTCGCTTTTTCCTTTTCTTTTTCTTGTTTTATTTTCATCTATGATTCCAACGGAACTAAACCTCAACCTCTACAAAAATATCTTTTAATTTTTCTCCCTTTTCGCCTTCTTCTTCCTTCTTCTAATATTCGAGATCATCATCATCTTAAACTTCATCTTCTTTTAATATTCGCTCTTGATCTTCGCCTTCGTCTTGATTTTCGTCTATTCAATCGTATTTCCTTTTCCTCTTCGATCACGTTATCTCGATTTACGATTTTCATCTTGTTTTTTTTTCTCTTCATTTCCATTCATAAGTTTTTGCTTTTTTCTTTTTTTCTTATGATAAGATTTGGATATTGATTGAGTCTTTTGATTGTTATCATGAAATCATGTAGATCATCAAAAGACTCATTTAATTATTATAATTAACTTTCATCATCATGAAATTTATATTCTCACTGTTTCATAATTATAATAATTAAAACTCAATTGAACTCGACTGAATTGTCTGGACATTGATGTGACAATTTTATCAATAGTCTATTGTTGTTGATGTTGTTGTACTTGTAATGATCATTTAAATTTCATAATTGTAGCAATGATTACAAGTATTGATTGAGATAATTAGGTGATTTAAATGATCAGTTTAACAATCATCAATGAACTAAAAATATCTTGACCACGTTATTTGTTTGTTTAACTAACGGTACAAGTTGTCAAAATATTTGTATTTTCATTGATGGAGATGAAAATGATGATGATGATAAGGAAGATAAGGATGATAAGAGTTGAATGGATGTTTACAATAAGAAGGTGGCGAAGATGACAAACTGATGAAAGTAACCGAAATTCAAAGATAAAGATACAGATTGAGATTAAGATTAGAATGAGAGTAAGAATTTAGTTGAAAGACAGAGAAAGAAAGAGAGAAAGAGAGAGAGACGAAAGAGGAAAGAAACTGAGTAACCGGATATGTAACATTAATCGAGTATATTAGTTACAGTTAATTGTTTTCGGGTCATTTCCCGATTTTCCGCCAACAACAAGATTAAGACCGAGAAGATCATCTTTTTTTCGGGCGATTCATAAATCATACTTTTCGTTTTATATTAACGACGAAAAGTGACCAAAGGCCAAAAGGCTCAGAGATCAAAAGACCGCTGGTATTATTATTACATAGACATAATTAACTCGAACAAAACTAATTATGATTAAAAACAAACTCAATTAGTAGACAATTTTTCCGACTCCAATTGAAGCGAATCAATATTCTAGTATGTTGACCATCATCATCATTCTCGCTCATCTTCATCTTCATCTTCATCCTCTTCCTCTTATTCCACTTTATCTTCTCACTCCCACTCGACTCATCCTCCTTTTCTTGACGCTTTTACTACAATAAGAAATGATACACAATATGATACTACTCTCTCTCTCTCTCTCTCTCTCTCTCTCTCTCTCTCTCTCTCTCTCTCTCTCTCTCTCTCTCTCTCTCTTGTTCTTTTTTCTTTTTTTCAGTGACCCTGAAAATGTTTCTTCTATTACAGATCAATGATAAAGTGCCAACGAAATAAATTCCATTGAAACTCAATCGAATTAATAAATTGCCAAAGAAAAAGCATAAACCATGAAAATGTTTCTCTTTCTTCAACTGTCAACTATTATTACTAAAAATTAACGGGATGATGATGATGATCAACAATCGAACATCTATTTAATCATCTTGTTAATTGTTTCATTAAACGATGATAATGATCTTCAATTCGCTCCTCCCTCTTATTCACCTTTACAAAAGTAATTCAGTTATGAAGATAAACTAATGTTATAGGAAAGAATAGATGCAAATTATGCTGAGTAAGAAAAGAAAACGAGAAGATGAGATGATGAGAAGGTGCGAAGGTGAGAAGATTAAGAAGAAGAAAAGAAGAAAAGAAGAGAGAATATACAGGGGTGGAGAGAATCATTTGAGCCAAATTAAAACGTTAATTTTATAAAGCACAATCAAGTTTAAGAAAATTTTTTCAGCAATTCGCATAGAATATTTAGTTGTCAAATTGACGTTAAATTTGAGTAGCTTTGGACATGAATTCGAAAAAATTTCGAATTTTCGAAAACACTAAAATTGAAAATTGCAAAATGTTATTTTTGACTAAAATGAAAATGAAATTTTATCTTCGATTTTCGATTTCAACATGTCCATCTTATTCTCCGTGTATGAAAACAGATATTCATCAGTTTTTTTCAAAAGAATTGATGAAAAACTAATTTTAGACGAAAGAAAATCTTGTAATTTACGTTTTCAGTGTTTTCGAAAATTTGAATTTTCGATCGATTTTTTCAGAAAATTTTCAAAATTGATATTTTCTACTCAATTAATTCTCTATCTTAAACATGGAAAATAATTGATTTGCTATGATTAATATTCAAGAAATTAATGATTAAATTTGGCTCAAATCTTTCTCTCCACACCTGTACTCATTGTTTATCATCATCATAATCATGGAAAATGAGAAGATGAAAGAAGAGACGATGATGAAGATGGAGATGAGGCTGAAGATGAGGAGTGTCAATAGTGAGTACCTCTTACCTCTTTCAAATTTTCCATCATCATCTCATCATCTTTTTCTGGGATGAAAAACAAGAAGATGAAGAAGAAAAAAGTTCTTCAATCAACTGAGAACTTTTTCCCTTAACATCAACATTTCTTTTCCTTTACTTCAACAGGTAATCACAACATTTCTCATCCTCATCATCATCTTCTTCTTTTCTCCTTCATCTTCACTATCAACATAAGAAAATGATGACGATGATAAAAAGATGGTGATGAAAGATTTGACCTGAAGATCATCTTCTCATTTCTACCTATATAATCACTATATGATTTCCAGGTTAACTCGGAATCTGAAGAAATGATCCCAATCATTTTCATCTTCAACTGTTGCACTTTTTTTTCTCTCATTTTCATCTCTCTCTTTCTTTCTCTCTTTACTATTTCTCTCTCTCTCTCTCTTCATCTTTTTCTCCAAACTCATCATCCCTCTCCACCCACTACTCCTCCTTATCGTCATGTTACTATGTAAAGCACGATAACCTTTTTCTCGTCTAATAAAATCAGAGTATCATCATCATCATCATCATCTTCTTCTTCTTCTGATTTTCATTTTGATAATCACAAATATAACTTATAATTTATAAGAATTTGATATTATTGTTTATTACTATTATTATCAATATCATTTATCTCATCATCATCTTCATCATCTTCATCATCACCTTTATCTTTATCTCTGTCATCGCCTCCTTCGCCTTCGCCTTCGCCTTCTCTTTCCTTATCTGCATCTCTCTAAAATTCTCATTCATCATCTCATCAATTCCGACAATTTATTTCAATCACATCAATACAATAACTTAAATTCATTAAAATCCAATCTTCTTACTCCTTTTAGATCAACTAATCAACATCAACAACAATAAGATTTACAAAAAAAAAGACCAAGAAAAAAAACTTTCTCATGTTAATCAATTTTTACAATTTAAATTATAATCTAAATGATTATTGCATAAACTGCAATTAATTATTATCGATATCATTTAACTTACTATTCTCACTATCTCATCGGCAAATTCAATTTTCTATTAATTATATTACTCAACCCTCTTCATCTTTCTCTTTCTCTCCATCTTTCTCTCCATCCTCATCTTCTATTTCATCTTCATCTCAATCTCAATCCTAATCTTAATCTTCTCCATCATTCTCATTCTCATCCTCATCATCACCAATACCGAGATTAATAATCATCTTTAATCTCAATCAACAAAACAATTGTTACCTTTATATTCAAATCAACCCATTGGTATATCAACTTATCATCATTATCAATGATAATTCACGTTTCAGTTTCACATTCAAATTCAAATTCAAATTCACATTTACATTTACATTTAGATTTAGATCAAGATTAACCACAAGATTCAAATCAATCGGTATTCAGTTTAAACTACTAATAACCAAACGATGAATTAAATAGTAAATCTATGATTTTCAATATATAATAATAATACAAACTATCATTCACACACTATAACACTCATGAAAAATTTCTTTCGATTCATTCAAATTCTAAATGTAGATTAAATCACAATTATAGTTAGAAGAAAATCAAATTCTTAATCTTAAGCTTAATCATCAATTAACTAGTAGAGTAACTAAGCTAATTCTAACTTATCTTTAACTCTAAAAGTCGATTTCTGACCTTAGAAGCTCAAATTCCAATTGGCTTTCATGGTCATCTTTCCATGAATATCATTTATGACCTCATCACCGAAACTCGACTAACTAAAGTCCTGAAGTTCTGATATTAGCTGAGTAATTAAAAGAAAAGAAAAAAAAGTAACCAAATTATTCGATTAATTCTAACCATCAATTAGAAGAGATTTAACTAATTTCATTTAATTAGAATCGAAATTAATTAGAAAAATACATCGAACGAACAAAAATAGAATAATAGTAATTCGGAATCAATTATCTTCTAATTATTATCTTTTGTCATCTAATGTAACTAAAAATATTTAATCTCGTTTCTCATCATGCTAATCAGTTGATGATGATGCTGATTACCCACTCATGATACTAGAATAACCTATAAGAGAAATGAAAATTGCACCTTCCAGAATCATAATCTACCATGTAAATCAGTTAATTCACAATTTTCACCATGAATTTATTTTCCTCTAGACTAAATATGCATTCAACTTGTTGCAAATTACAATTGTCGTTTGCCAAGAAAAATATTGTAACCATAGATTAACTTGTTGATTTCTGTGTTATAATCTGGATGATTATTCTGCTTATAATCCAGGCTTAATCTCTTGTTTATCATCATTATCATCATCTTGTTATCATTAAACCATAAATGCTGTTTTTTCCCATGGTTATGATTAACATACAGAATTAAATGTCAGCGAATTGCTTCCTTGTCGTTGATCAATGTTAATCTATGGGAATGAAATAATTAACAGACAAATTAGCGAATAGAAAAGACAATTAAGAGATAATTGATTCTGTATTATTGTTCTGGTGTTTATTTCTTGTTGGTTTGAATTATTATTAATAGTTTTCGATTCATAAGATTGATGTCGAAGGAATTGTAGAAATCGCAAAGTTTTCATCTAATTGTAATTAAAATTTATTAGTTGCGTTACGAGAATTAAATACCGAATATTAGTAGTTTAAACTGAATACCGATTGATTTGAATCTTGTGGTTAATCTTGATCTAAATCTAAATGTAAATGTAAATGTGAATTTGAATTTGAATTTGAATGTGAAACTGAAACGTGAATTATCATTGATAATGATGATAAGTTGATATACCAATGGGTTGATTTGAATATAAAGGTAACAATTGTTTTGTTGATTGAGATTAAAGATGATTATTAATCTCGGTATTGGTGATGATGAGGATGAGAATGAGAATGATGGAGAAGATTAAGATTAGGATTGAGATTGAGATGAAGATGAAATAGAAGATGAGGATGGAGAGAAAGATGGAGAGAAAGAGAAAGATGAAGAGGGTTGAGTAATATAATTAATAGAAAATTGAATTTGCCGATGAGATAGTGAGAATAGTAAGTTAAATGATATCGATAATAATTAATTGCAGTTTATGCAATAATCATTTAGATTATAATTTAAATTGTAAAAATTGATTAACATGAGAAAGTTTTTTTTCTTGGTCTTTTTTTTTGTAAATCTTATTGTTGTTGATGTTGATTAGTTGATCTAAAAGGAGTAAGAAGATTGGATTTTAATGAATTTAAGTTATTGTATTGATGTGATTGAAATAAATTGTCGGAATTGATGAGATGATGAATGAGAATTTTAGAGAGATGAAGATAAGGAAAGAGAAGGCGAAGGCGAAGGCGAAGGAGGCGATGACAGAGATAAAGATAAAGGTGATGAAGATAATGAAAATGATGAAGATGATGAGATAAATGATATTGATAATAATAGTAATAAACAATAATATCAAATTCTGATAAATTATAAGTTATATTTGTGATTATCAAAATGAAAATCAGAAGAAGAAGATGATGATGATGATGATACTCTGATTTTATTAGACGAGAAAAAGGTTATCGTGCTTTACATAGTAACATGACGATAAGGAGGAGTAGTGGGTGGAGAGGGATGATGAGTTTGGAGAAAAAGATGAAGAGAGAGAGAGAGAGAGAGAGAGAGAGAGAGAGAAATATTAAAGAGAGAAAGAAAGAGAGAGATGAAAATGAGAGAAAAAAAAGTGCAACAGTTGAAGATGAAAATGATTGGGATCATTTCTTCAGATTCCGAGTTAACCTGGAAATCATATAGTGATTATATAGGTAGAAATGAGAAGATGATCTTCAGGTCAAATCTTTCATCACCATCTTTTTATCATCGTCATCATTTTCTTATGTTGATAGTGAAGATGAAGGAGAAAAAGAAGAAGATGATGATGAGGATGAGAAATGTTGTGATTACCTATTGAAGTAAAGGAAAAGAAATGTTGATGTTAAGGGAAAAAAGTTCTCAGTTGATTGAAGAACTTTTTTCTTCTTCATCTTCTTGTTTTTCATGCCAGAAAAAGATGATGAGATGATGATGGAAAATTTGAAAGAGGTAAGAGGTAAAACTCACTATTGACACTCCTCATCTTCAGCCTCATCTCCATCTTCATCATCGTCTCTTCTTTCATCTTCTCATTTTCCATGATTATGATGATGATAAACAATGAGTATATTCTCTCTCTTTTCTTCTTTTCTTCTTCTTAATCTTCTCACCTTCGCACCTTCTCATCATCTCATCTTCTCGTTTTCTTTTCTTACTCATCATAATTTGCATCTTTTCTTTCCTATAACATTAGTTTATCTTCATAACTGATTCACTTTTGTAAAGGTGAATAAGAGGGAGGAGCGAATTGAACATCATCAGCATCATTATCATCATTATAATCGTTTAATGAAACAATTAACAAGATGATTTAATAGATGTTCGATTGTTGATCATCATCATCATCCCGTTAATTTTTAGTAATAATAGTTGACAGTTGAAGAAAGAGAAACATTTTCATGGTTTATGCTTTTTCTTTGGCAATTTATTAATTCGATTGAGTTTCAATGGAATTTATTTCGTTGGCACTTTATCATTGATCTGTAATAGAAGAAACATTTTCAGGGTCACTGAAAAAAAGAAAAAAGAACAAGAGAGAGAGAGAGAGAGAGAGATAGTATCATATTGTGTATCATTTCTTATTGTAGTAAAAGCGTCAAGAAAAGGAGGATGAGTCGAGTGGGAGTGAGAAGATAAAGTGGAATAAGAGGAAGAGGATGAAGATGAAGATGAAAATGAAGATGAGCGAGAATGATGATGATGGTCAACATACTAGAATATTGATTCGCTTCAATTGGAGTCGGAAAAATTGTCTACTAATTGAGTTTGTTTTTAATCATAATTAGTTTTGTTCGAGTTAATTATGTCTATGTAATAATAATACCAGCGGTCTTTTGATCTCTGAGCCTTTTGGCCTTTGGTCACTTTTCGTCGTTAATATAAAACGAAAAGTATGATTTATGAATCGCTCGAAAAAAAAGATGACCTTCTCGGTCTTAATCTTGTTGTTGGCGGAAAATCGGGAAATGACCCGAAAACAATTAACTGTAACTAATATACTCGATTAATGTTACATATCCGGTTACTCAGTTTCTTTCCTCTTTCCTCTCTCTCTCTCTCTCTCTCTCTTACTCTCTGTCTTTCTTTCTGTCTTTCATCTAAATTCTTACTCTCATTCTAATCTTAATCTCAATCTGTATCTTTATCTTTATCTTTGAATTTCGGTTACTTTCATCAGTTTGTCATCTTCGCCACCTTCTTATTGTAAACATCCATTCAACTCTTATCATCCTTATCTTCCTTATCATCATCATCATTTTCATCTCCATCAATGAAAATACAAATATTTTGACAACTTGTACCGTTAGTTAAACAAACAAATAACGTGGTCAAGATATTTGGTTAGTTCATTGTGATTGTTAAACTGATCATTTAAATCACCTAATTATCTCAATCAATACTTGTAATCATTGCTACAATTATGAAATTTAAATGATCATTACAAGTACAACAACATCAACAACAATAGACTATTGATAAAATTGTCACATCAATGTCCAGACAATTCAGTCGAGTTCAATTGAGTTTTAATTATTATAATTATGAAACAGTGAGAATATAAATTTCATGATGATGAAAGTTAATTATAATAATTAAATGAGTCTTTTGATGATCTACATGATTTCATGATAACAATCAAAAGACTCAATCAATATCCAAATCTTATCATAAGAAAAAAAGAAAAAAGCAAAAACTTATGAATGGAAATGAAGAGAAAAAAAAACAAGACGAAAATCGTAAATCGAGATAACGTGATCGAAGAGGAAAAGGAAATACGATTGAATAGACGAAAATCAAGACGAAGGCGAAGATCAAGAGCGAATATTAAAAGAAGATGAAGATGAAGATGATGATGATCTCGAATATTAGAAGAAGGAAGAAGAAGGCGAAAAGGGAGAAAAATTAAAAGATATTTTTGTAGAGGTTGAGGTTTAGTTCCGTTGGAATCATAGATGAAAATAAAACAAGAAAAAGAAAAGGAAAAAGCGAACGAAAAATAAAGATGATTTTACAAAGAAAGACGAAAAAGAGAAAGAGAGAGAGAGAGAGAAACTATATCATCATCTTGATCCTCATCTTCATCTTAATCATCATCATCGCATACACAGTGTTCATCTTTGTTTTTGGGCAACGAGTCATCACAATCAAAGTAATTAGTTCCTTTTGTGGTGACTCGATGCCCAGAACAAAGGCCAACTCTGTAAATCGCATGATGACAATGATGATTAAGATGAGCAACAAAATCAACGGAACCTCAGCCTCTCCTTTTCCTTCATACTTCGAATTTATCATCATTAACAGTCTCCATCATCTCTTCAAGTTCATTCTCGTTATTCTTTTGTCGTACAACTTTTGGCATAAATTCACCTTTCGAACTAATTAATTTTTTCCATCCTATTATCCACCAACCGAATCAACATCAGATTAATAATTCCACCAATCAAACTAACCAAGTCTCAAAGAAACAGTTTTGATTGATTGTCTATTCTAATTCAAGCTAATTGTTCACAAGTAAACTATTCTTATCCAAAAAAGAATTGAGTTAATTCAATTCGTTACAACGATTGCAACGTCATCTCAAGAATCAAAGAGAAACCAATTAACTAAAAACTGAAAACTTCTCTAATTGAAAAAGAGATGGCGCTGAAAAGAGACTCAAATGAAAGAGAAAACGATTCTCTTTCTTTTTTTCTTTCGTTTTCGTTGAACAAGTAGCTCCATCTCTTAGATAATTAAGCAACTTTTCGTAATTACGGTTAATCAGAAAGAATGAAAATTAATCTGATTAATGATTCGTAAATTGATTAGTGAATAAAATAATATAAATGAGTAAGTTACGAGTTTATTTTTTTATTATTGTTGATAAATTAATATTTTTCTTTTTATGGAAAGAATAATTGATTAAACTAAGACAATTAATAGATAATATAATGATCTTAGTTGGGTAATTCTTATCGCAACAGTTAACAGGGTAACAATTATATATATAAATGATTCATTTTGATTGTTTAAAGCAACATTTCCAGCAAAAATCAAGAAAACATCAAATTGTAATAAACTTATAGTTGATTAACCATAATTATTATAACATATAAGCTGCTGTTTTTTGTTGATTCCGTTAGCTTATTATTATTATTGGTGAAATATATTATATATCCAGCTGATTATCGATGAACATTTAGTTTTCATTCCGATAAAATTTAGAACTGTGACAATTAGATTATGAAAATTTCTATTAACAGGAATTATCTCTCTTTGTAAAATGAATTGATATTGCGACGGGAATCGTGATAATTACGAGCTTGCGAACCATTGTTACCAATATCTATTGTTACGAGAATGAAGGGGAATAATTTTTTAATTATATAATTAAATATATAGAGATTTATATATATACAGAGGTGATTTCACTTAGAGCGGTTTCACTTAGAGCATATTTCAGCGCCCTCTACATAACCAAAAAGGTTAATTTCTTATAAAAAAAGTGAACTAATCTCTCTAGTTTATACAAGCCTAATTACACTAATCCGCTAGGGGGACATACTGAAAACTGATATGCTCTAAGTGAAATCACCTCTGTATTAGTATGTGTATTAGAATAAATCAATGACGAGATTTGGATAATGATTATAATGTTTTTCTGACCCTGTGCATGTTAATATATTTTCATGACGAGTATTAGACGATTAGTTTATCTTTTTCAATAAATGTTATATTTATAATAATATCGATTTTGATGAAAGGTTCAAATGGTTGGCTTGGTTAGTTTTAGTTGTTAGTTTTGATTATTAGTTGATTTTGTTGGCTTTAAAGGCAATGATTTGTTAATTGTAGTTCGAGGAGTTAATGTTTGTTAGTGAGTGAGAGAGACAGGGAGAGGAAGAGAGAGATAGAGAGAGAGAGAGAGAGAAGGGTAAACAAGTTGTTAATGGTGTTAAATTATATCATCAAATTGTAAGAAAATTTAACGATGATGACGAGCAAGAATACCAGCATTGGTCAAGGGTAAGAGAGCGGCGAATCGGTTTTCATCATTTCGTTCTGGAAACCTACCTAACATCGTTATTTCCTGAGACATTTCGATGGCTAATAAATGTTCCAAATGTTCTAATCGACGAGGATCTTCTCGGTGGTACCTTGAGACTAGTAAACGTAGAACGGTAACTTCTTTTGACATTTCGTCGATTCGAGCATGAAGTTTAGAATTTTCTTCTTCCAATTGGTTCATTCGATCAATAGTTTGAATAAATTTTACTTTCGATTTTGACCTTGATTTTCGTACAGCAATGTTATTCCTTTCTCGACGTAATCGATACTCTTCACTTGCTTTATCTAAAGATGCTTTACCTAATGAAGATGATGATTTGTGACTCTCTGAGTTGGTTGATGATTTACTTGGTGTAGGTGATACATTATCCATTCTGTAAGAGATGTGACGATGTGAATCACTAGGTATTAACGAAGGTGGTGATTTGGTGAAACGTTTATTCATTTTTCTATTTTTCTCATATGGAAAGGGTTCAGAGTTACTATTATCTGCTCGAGTTCGAATTCCATTGGAATCATTGTAAACTGATTCAGAAGAAAATGAATCTTTTGAGTGGCCAACATTTTCGGTGATTACACTTGCAGGAGAAGGAGGTAGTGATTGAGCAGAAGATGTTGGTGAGAATGGAAAATTGAATTGATAATTTTTCCGAGGAGATTGATCGAAAGGTGAAACCGATGGAGATGAAATTGTACAATGAGGATTAAGGGTAACATTATTGGTGTGATGATGGTGATCCTTATTCTGTTCAGGGTGTAAATGTAAATGATTGTGAATTGAATGATGATATTGAGCCACAGAATTTTGAGATAACTCTGAATCTTGTTTAGAGTGACGATGTTGTTCTGAGTGTTTGTGACGATGTTGAGAATAATTTTGACGACGGGTTAAGTTACTTTCTTGAGAATGATGGTGAAAAAGAGATGGCGGTAAAATGGATGATGAGAATAATGTTCCAATTTGATTATCATTTACTTGTAACGATGAACGTTGTGAATTGGTAACATCGGAGGTTTGAGTTGAAATGATAACTGAATCATTACTTGTTGAATCACTTGGAACGATACTCTGATTATCAAGAAGGGAACAATTTATTTTAGCACCAAGTGTAGCATCGATCGGTGAATCTTGTTGCTGTGAGATATCAGGATTAACCTTCAATTGTCTCCGATTTTCCTCATGAGGTAGAATAACTTGCTCAGAATCGGAAGAATAGAGGCCATTTATATCTAACCTTTGACAATCATTTCTAACAATCACTGAGGGTGGTGAAGAAACTGAGGGCGAAGAGGGTGGAGATGAACACGAAGAGGATGTTGAGTGTTTAAGGGCATCAACAGCACGAAATTTCTTGTTGATTGGAGCCATTGTTTTGATTTTATTTCTCTTTCTAATTTATCAAGGTGAGAAGAGAATAATTAATATTTTTCAAGGAGAAAATTAGCAGATTAATTAGAATAAATTAGTCACTGGTAAATTCGGTTTAGAGAAAAAGTTGTTCTTCTGATTGATTGAAACACTTTTTTAGTCACAATTGGACCAGAAAGAAGGGGAAAAATTAAGAACAAGTTGTTATCCCAAAGTAACTGGAGAAAAAAGAGAAAAGAATATTTTTCTTCTCTAATTTTCTTTTTGTTTTCTTCGTCTAGAAGAAAATTAAATTGATTATTTTACAATTTCAACGAATATCAATTGTTGATGTTGAATAATTACGAAGATAACACGTTGGTAAAAAAAAACAAGAGACAAAAAGTGTTGATGATGAATCACAAATTTGGTGAAATGATTACAGTCTCCAAAAGAAATAATCAAACAACAATGGCGTCGATAGATATTGATGTCGCTTTGAAGTGGTAATGAGATAGAAAGAGAGAGAGAGAGGAAGATAAAACTGGTGCAATAACAAATTGTTGTCTTATTGTGATGTCATGTAAATCATATTGAATCAAGTTTACTCATTGGGATCAGACTATTGACTAATACTCAAAGTCTATGGAGTTTGATGAGTAGGGAAGAGAGAGAGAGAGAGAGAGAGAGAGAGAGAGAGAGAGAGAGAATCAAGAAGAAAGAGAGATGAAATGAACTGCGAAAGAGAGGATGAAGGCAACACGAGGAGAAAATAACATGATTTCTTCTACGATGATTTCATAGAGAGAGAAAGAAAGAGAGAGAGAGAGAGGGAATCAAGAAATTAAGCAAGTAGTGTAAAGGAAGTGAACAGCTACCACAGGTAGTTGAAGAAAGAGGAAGATGAGGGTGGGTAGTGACCTTAGACACGAGGAGCGAGAGAGAGAGAGAGAGAGATTAGGGTGGAATATATTTTGAAATATCAAAGTGATATTACATCACAGTGAAGAGGGAGAGAGAAATGAAAAAATAGAGGTAAGATATTTATACGAGTTTATTGCGATGTTACCAGTTTGTTGATTGTCGTTGGAATGTCAATCTTGATTGTGGATTAGAGATTAAAGTTGCACAAATTGTTGAATATCCATGGTAATTGTTTATGTTGTTGCAGTTGATTAACAAAGGGAAAGTCAGTTTATCATGATGATGATTTGTAGACGATGAAAAAAAATCAGAGTGAATCAATTGTGTCAAACAATCAGAAAAAAAAGAAGAAAAAAAAAAGAAAGACAAAGAAGTTAATCTTGGAACGAAAATAGAAAGAGAGAAAAAGAGAAAGAGAAATTAAAAATGGACCAATGAAAATTTAGACGAATTTTCAACAGGCAAAGAGAATAGAATATTTTTTTGTTCCACAAGTACAATTTACTATTTTCTATGGTAATAGAGAGAATAATTAAAATTGTTACGTTAAATTGAGATACAATTTAAATGTTTTTCTTCTGGTTTACACAACTAATTCAACTACGAATGTGAATGAAAAACTAAAAGAAAGAGAGAAATAAAAATTAGAAAGAGAGAAAGAGAAAAGAAAGAGAAATTAAAATGGACCAATGAAAATTTAGACGAATTTTCAACAGGCAAAGAGAATAGAATATTTTTTTGTTCCACAAGTACAATTTACTATTTTCTATGGTAATAGAGAGAATAATTAAAATTGTTACGTTAAATTGAGATACAATTTAAATGTTTTTCTTCTGGTTTACACAACTAATTCAACTACGAATGTGAATGAAAAACTAAAAGAAAGAGAGAAATAAAAATTAGAAAGAGAGAAAGAGAAAAGAAAGATAAAAATAACAAACAAACAATTCACCCACTTTTTATCAGCATAATAGTTGTAGCACCGCCTCAACCTCGTGTAGCATTCCCAGTAAAGTTTATTGCCTCTCGCAGTCTCTCTCTCTCTCTCTTTTTCCCCTTCATCTTCCATCTTCAGGGAAAACAAGAGGATCCACCTAACATACGAAAGCATATTACGTAATGAAGATGGAAGATGAAGCTCTGAGCGTGTACACCTTTTCCATGTACTCTCCATGATGATCATTTTTCTCTTTCTTTCTTCTCTTTCGTCTTTCTCAGGTTCTGATCATGTTCTTTAGGTTTGCCTCGTGTAACATTTCATCATGTGTTTTGCTTTCAATCTTCTTCTTCTCTTCATCATCATCATCTCTCTCTCTCTCTCTCTCATCTTCTTGCTCACTCTCTTACGAAATGTAAACACATACAAATGTTTAAATTCATATCAACTATTACTTGTTATTACCTCCTACTTTTCACCTTTTCATTTTTCTCTCTTTCTCTCTCTTTCTTTTCTTATGATCCAACTTACCTCGTGTAGTATTTTTTGTTGTTGTTGTTTATGTTTTTAGGTGTAATGAAGATACGATGATGATGATATTAACCCAATGGAAATTAGATGACACATTAAAAGGACACAGCAATTAGATTGGTTTACATAGGGAACATAAAAATAACAGTTAATCTAATCAATAGTTTCCATTTAGAGTAACTATTTTAAGGCTTTTCTAGGTGTGAATTGGGTGAAATATAATATTCTCTTTTGCTATTGAAAACCTTTGAAATTAATCAACAAACATGATCTAGAAAATGAAATTAACTTAATCAGATTAATTAATTTTCTGGTTGATCAAAATGTAAACAAAGAAAAAAATTTTTTTCCATTTACTTTTTATATCGAAAGATGGAGCCACTGGTTGTGCTCTTTTCCTTGGTAATCATTTAATTCAATTGCTGATTAATTAGAAATTAACTTTCTATTAATATTTATTGTCTTAATTGTATTACAATTTTTTATGATTATTTCTTAAGAAGATATACTTTTGAATTTTCTATTATGTTATCAAAAGAATAGATGATAATAATTGATGAATTTGAAAGTTCGAAATCAATTGTTATTATTTGAAATTCGAGAGAATTGAATAAAAAAGTTCTGAATAAATGAACTAATTGAAACAATTAAATAATCGATAAAAGTTGTTAACTAAATTGAAGAAAAATGAAACATTCGGTACTCTATTTAGACGATTAGATTAACTGATTGTTTGTAATTAAAGATTTTTTATGGTTAATCAATAGACAGGAAAGTAAATTTTAAATGTTATTAATTATTATCCAATCATTTTAATCACCTTAATTGTAATAACAATTAAATTAAGACAAATGAAGTGCAAACATGAAATCAAAGAGATTATTTTAATTACAATATAAGATATTTTTAATTTTCTTCCAACAATTAGACCAAATCATTTTCCTATTCTTCAGTCACTCCACCAATTTAATCATTAACTTTGTCTCTTCATGATTTAACTAATTGCTGAGTAAATGATTAAAGTAAACAATTTAATATAATGCCACAAGTAATCAAAAACGATTCAATTGATTATCCTTCAAAGTTAATTGTTAAACACAGAAACTTCAAATCAAATAAACAAATCAATTAACTCAATTTACTTTAATTGCAAAGCAAGATAAGTAAAATCTTTATAAGAACAATTAATTGTTGCAATTAACAATCGCTTCCATCATGATGATTAAACATTTACTTCATTTACCAAATTAAATTATTCACCTTAATCATCAACAAACATGACGATTAACTGATTGTGTGGATACCAATTGAAAAAAATGGTCAATTGTCAATTCGTGATGAAAACAATTAAATTAACCTGAGGATGAAAAAAAACTGGACATTGATGAGTAACAATTAATCACAATCAAAATTTCCCAACAATTTGATCCGGAAGAGTAACTATTTTGGTAAAGGTCAACCAATATATCAGTTGATTGATTGATGAAAAAGTGTTATTACAATCAAGGTAAATGGATTGGCGGTCAAAGGGTAAACTGACCACGAATTGATTGTCCATCACAATCAAGATAATAGTTTTCCATCATCATGATTATCATTAAACATACGATTATCACCGTTGACCATCATCATCTTCATCGAATTGACCTCATCACTTTGTTCCTGTTACCTGATTCACAGAATTTTTTTTTTCTCCAACAATTTAATCTTAATCATCAATCCAATCATTTCACGAGATGATTGAACTTGATTATTGGTGAGAAATTTCATCAATCTCAGGTAACTGATCATCAGCCAGTTAGAAAGAAAATAAATCAAAGGATAAACTTGAAGAATCAGTAATGATTCAGATGATTAGTTCTACTTTCATCTTGCTAATCCCTTATCCATTTGTTATCAAATTGACAATCAACTAGATTAATATTTCATCAGGTAAACCAAGTTGACAAAATTGTTGACAAATTGTTGACCTTTACAATTGATCTACCCTGAGTTACATTGGATTCATAGATTATCAAAATTATTTGTCACTGATTAAAAACTACATACATAAATTACAATTAAGACTATTAATTACAGTTGATATAAATACAATATTAAAATGGTAGAAATTGCTTTTTACAAGCTCAGGTGAATTTGTAATCATCAATGAGAGAGACAATTAACAATCAACACGCGAATGTTTAAGTTTACAAAGTTGAATATAATCTGTAAAAAAGGACCAGGTAAATATGACAGGTAAGAGTCAAGTGAAAATTTAAAATTAAATCTTTTTTTGATTGTCCTGCATTGTAAATCAACGGGTAATCTTTTTTATATATAACAATATAAATTTTAAATTAACAAGTAACAATTTATATATATAAAATATTTATATAGATGTAAAGTCAACATAATTAACAAGTTAATTCAATTGTGATGACAGTTGATGGTTAATGATGATAATTTACTCTTTTATCATGATCATCTTGAAGCTGGTGAATAATAAGATGATACTTTTGCAATGAATGAGTATCAGATTGCAAAGCCAAACCATTGACAAGTGAGTGGAGGATGAAACTGTTGTTGATGATGATGATGAAAAGTTTCCTGTTCTTGTTAATCCAATTGTTATCACTTGAAAAGATCAACTTTTAAGAAATTCATTCATATCATGATCTTGAAGTAATTCAAGTTATTTGTTAATTATATTTTCGCCATCGTCTTAATCCTCCTTCTTGTCTTCTTCTTTTATCATGGAACCTTTTGTTCCAAGATCTTTACTTTGATTCCTCTCTCTCTCTTGACAATAATTGTTTCCATTTCATCAACAATTATTGTTCATCTTGATTGTAATTGTCTTTTCTTTCTATTAAAACAAAAGAGACCAGAAGAATAAGATGAATGTAGACACACGTTAACGCCATATCATGTAATAGGTATACAGTGGATTTTGTTTACTTCAGCTCCTTTCATTTGTTTCTTTGTTAATAAACCACTTCCATAGAGATAAAAGGTCTCATAATGAGTGTGAATATTGTTTTTATCATCATGAATCCATGAGAGAGTCTTTATATCAGAGACATTTGAAAAACAATAAAAAATCAACAATAGTCAACAATCAAATTTAACACACTGCACCCAAAGGGGTTAACTGGTCCGTGAAGGAGAGAGAGAGAGAGAGACTTCAGAGTTGTACCAAAAGAGTTGAGAAACAATAAGATGAATTAGATAGACGATTTTTTTATAGTTTCGCTTTGCAAGAGAAAATCATCTCCATGTTTACAGGGGCAATTCAATTCATCATCGATTATGTTTCTTTGCATCTTTGTTATCGTTGCAAATTCCCATGTACCATGTAACCACATCATTTGAACACAATTTTCATCCGATAAAATTAACCATTGAAACAAATTCAGAGTCCAGATTATTATTAATCATCTGGGGATCGTTGCTGATCTTCATTGTCATTCTGTTGTGTTTGGTTGGAGACTTGGGAATGGAGATGATCAAAATTCATAAATCAATGAGTTGATTATGATTGATTTGTATTGTGGTGGTCATAATTTTCCTTTTTGATTCTTTTTCAAATCAAGAAATTAAGTATTTACTCGTTTTTTCCCACAGTTTAATCATGAATGATTCCCAATCGGAAACATCACCAATATCCCCAATAATGTATGGGGAGGGTCGACGATCTGAAGTTGATTTTAACCATTTTCTCAGGTCATTTGGATCGTAAGTAAATTTAAAGTTAATTGGTTGATGGCGAATAGGTAAATGAGCGACCAGAATTCCAGTGATAAATAAATCATCAATCCATAGGAAAGGTTTTATCGATGGTGAAATATTGTAAAGATCTTGAATTACATCGGGTGTTATAAAATATCCAATTCCGGAACAGTAAGCAGGTAAAACATCAAAGGGATACTCTTTATGGGTCAGTTTCCATTTACCTTTTCTTTTAACGGAAACTCCTTCTGGGAACATGGAGCAGCTAATTATTCCCATGGGTGATGAGGAAACACCGTTATTATTATTATTATTATTATTGTTACCAGTTGTCGGTGGAGGATGAAATGTTGTCCGAAGGAAACTGACCACTCGGAAAATGTCAACATAAGCATCATCATCAATTTTCATGATAAATTTTGCTTCACGACAAAAGGTTAACACCCATTTGTAACCCATTAAATGTTTATAAGTTAAATTGGCATAGGTATCGGCAAAATTACCCTGAACCAGGTCACCAAATTGTGCCGATTCGGTGTCAATTACTGATTGAAGGGAAGACGAATTAGTAACACCAAGAAGAAAGATCACTTTTATTCCGAGAAGATGTTGAACACGACGAGAAGCCCAAGTAGATCGGATAATCCGTCTTTTGTCAAAATTAAATGGAGCAGAATGAACAAAAGCTAACAAATTAATTTCATCTGAAAATGATGATGATGGAAGATCGTCTGAAGTTGTTGACTGATTAAAAGATGATGTTGATGGTAAACATTTGGTTGAACAATTTTTGATAAAAGTAAAATTATCCATATCTAATAAGTGAGATACACTATCCCTGTAAGGTTTATCTCCATCAATCTGATAAGATGAACGTTGAAATAATCTCATTGGTTTATATGGATTGATTAACTTTCTATGTTTATCATTAATTGTAATGAATGAATTATTTGACTGGTAAATAACAGGTTGATTAACATCTTCAGGTTGACCAGAATGATCGTTAATTTCATTTTCAAGTGTCACTTTACTATAGAAATAAACAAATGTTAAGCTAATTGTTGTGATCATCAAAGGATAATATCGACGAGCCCAACGGTTCATTATCGATTTAATCAATAACCACCAAGGATAATTTGATAAGTGGTTGAGAAGATGATGATGATGATTTAACAGAAATCAACATTTGGGTCAAAAGGGTAAAATCATCAACTTCAAGATATGGTCAGTTGAATAGTGGACAAGACGGTAAACACGTTAAACATTGTCATTATGATGATAAACAATTTAAATGGCAACACAATGTAACTTTATCAGCATCAAAATCATTCCCATCATCAGGTAAACAATTTTATAATTGTTGCTGTTGTACACACGGTGGTGGTGGTGGTGGTGGTGGAGTGGAAAATTAATGTAACAGTGAAACATTAAATATGAGATAACGGTTTACTCCGGAAGGATCATCATCATCATCATAATTAACATTACGAGGACGGTACCAAGTTACCAAAATGATATAAAAACCCGTTTTCTAGAAAGAGAAAAGAAAGAGAAAAAAATTAAATTATGATGAGAAATGAAGTTGTGGGAGAGAGAGAGAGAGGAGGTTAAGGGAAAATGATTGGAAGATAACAGTTAAAACAGTGATGATATTTGAGCGTGCAGACCATTGGATCTTGAGGTCACTCAGTTACACCGAGTGAGTGAGAGAGAGAGAGAGAAAAGTGAGCAACCACAATCATATTATTTTTCTTTTCATCTTTATAATTCCTAATTCCTAATAACTTTATATCTTTTTTCATAAGAAAAACTGTTTTCTCATTTAAGAAGAAACTGTTACTCGTATTTCAAAGTCAGAAGATAATGAAAAGATTAAGGGGGAAAAGGAAGATGAGTCAAGGAAGTAGAAGAAGAAGATGAGAAGAAAAATATGTATTCATTATTAGCATGATTACTCATTATTTGGAAAATTAGCTAAGCTTTTTTCTATCATCTTTCTCGTCGGCCATTGTTGACCGCAAGAGAAAAACCGGGAGAAGGTGTCAGAAGATGAAGATGATGATATAATAATTTCCATTTTCTAAAATGAATAGAATTGAATTCTTTTTAGAATTTTTTTCTTATTTGTGGAAATCGGAAAAGAGAGAGAGAGAGATAATTGCAATCCAATGAAAAGTAATCAAATTCTGGAAAAAGATCACGTTTATGTCTAAAAGAACGCCAATTACTGGGGGTTCACCTGACTGACCTCTAAAAACACATAACAATAGAAAGAGTTGAATGTGTAATCAACCCAATTAAAGATAATTACATCATATTGAATATCAAAAATGGTTGTTAATTGTAACACACATTTGGATGACAGATATTTTCAGGTGAATATCAAATGGAATCAATTATTACACATCAAATCATCACCAGAAGAGATCATCAAAATAACAATAAATCACAAAGAGACATTTGAATAGGAGAAAACAAAACAGAAGAGAAAACAAAAATCGGAGAATAGAACAAACAAAAGAGAATAGAACATTAAAAAAAAAGACTTACCTTTGATATATAAAGAACGTAAAAAAAAGGTGATTAATTTACTGACAAACAGATTTATTGATTAATTAGCAAACCGGTGTCTGAACAATTAACATGGACAAATCACTAATAACCAGTAATTGATTCACTTGCTAATCAATTCAAATCAATTTAATCCAAAAGAAACATTGAGTAACCAATACAAGTAAATGACACAAAATGAAAAGGTCACAAAGAGATAAACAAAATGTCACCAAACAAAAGAAACCCTACCAATCGAACGTAACAATTCATCTATTTTTGGAACAATTAAAAAAATAACTTAATTCTAATCACAATTAAGACCAAACTTCTAATGTTTGTCATGAAAAGTTGAAGAGCAACTAAATCATAAGAAACTTCAACTAAGAAAATCAAGAAAATGAACGCGGGAGAAAAAAAGAACGACACCTATCGGAGAGAAGAAGAAACTTTTCGTTGAGATTTTTCGTCGAAATTTTTGATTAGTCCAATTGGATTATTCGATTTATCGTTTTCGAGTTGACATAATTACGACAAGAAATGATGACCAGTTTGTGAAATGAAAGAAAAATTCGTAAACAAGTAATTAGATTTGTCTTATATATTCAATGATTGAAGTTGGAAAGTTTCTTCTTGATTGTTGATTGAAAATTCAACTGATTAAAGTTTTCAACAATCAAGTTAAATGGTTGATTCTTAATTGTGAACATTATTGAAATGTAAATGAATTCGAGAAAATCTTAATCTATGTTAGAACTTTTTTTTTCTATTCGAGCTCAAGAATACATGTAATGTTTATCGCTAATAACTAATTACAATCGAGTCAACAATTAATAACAAGCTTTTGATTTGTGAGAATAAATCATGATTAGATTAATTGTATTGATGAAGTTTGATTTTAATTAAAAGGGAAAAGTGATGAAGATTAAAAAAAATAGTTAATTGTGTTCACAACAATCAAAGGAAAACAATTGGGGAAAAAAAGTTTGATTATCACAATGACGACAATATAATTTACACAATGAGAAAACAATTAGATTTGGATTAACAATAACAATTAAAATGATAAATAATAATCATACAAGTGGAACAATTAACTTGATCGGTTCAATGAATCCTGATGTTGACCAATTGTTTATAAACAACAATTAGTAAATTGTTGCCTGATAATAACGATGATAATGATTACAACATTTAAATCAATTGCCGATTTAAATTATTAATATTATTGATCAAACTATTAATAAAAACGTGATTGATTAAATTGAATAGACAAACACAATCAAATTAAATCAATCAATTGAATTAGTTATACATGATTTCATTTTTAAACCATGTTAATCAAATCAATTACTATACAATTATTAAATTGTTACATTGGCGATGAAACCAGTTTACAATTAGCCATTAGTAAATTGTGAAAAATCAATCAAGTTACATATTAAATTTGATTGTTGGTTAATCTAATTTTGTATTTTCATCCCAAAGTAAATTAAAAACTTTTTTTTTCATTAATTAAATTAAATGTTGTATCAATGTAACACTATTGATCATTGTACTAATCAAATTGTTAACCAAAAGCCTTACAATTAACTTGATATTAAATTTTATCATTATCATTATGAGGCTTAATTGTAGTGGTTGATTATAATTAAATGTTAATCATTGATTTACGTGTTGTTTATATTAATACAGTTTCATCATTTGATTGTTAAAGTTAATCACATTGAAAGTTATTAATTAAATGTTAATCAGATTGTTGTAATTGATGGATGGGAAAAAAACAAGTTAATTATTAATCAATCTAATTGTGAATTGCGTCACAATTAATGCAAGAGAAAAGTTAGTAAATCTAATTGAAACATTGTAATTAACAATCAAAGTTAATTGAAAAGTCAATTGAATCTGCTCATCATTATAATCTGTAATTGTGTAATCAGTTTTCACGTTGATCATTAAAACAATCAACTGATTGTGAATCATTTGATATCTGTTATTCAATAGTTAACACAATACAATCAACAGCAATTAGTTAATCATTGATAAAGTGACGAAAGGAATAATATTCAACAATTATGATTAGTAAATTGTGAGATGAAAATAGTTTTGTTTTTTCATCTTCAAGGGTCACCAGTTAAACTAAATTGCTACAAGATTAACTTTCTAATGATTGGCAATCAATCAATGACTTTAGCTCAACAATTAACTGATCAACATTTGCGACATGAAAATGTTTACATGGACACTGGGTTGTTGACATTGTCTATAGACAATGTCAATATATTGAACTTTTTGATTGTCTAACTTTTTTTTGCTATTAAATCAACTGTTGATTTGATTTACTACTTCCTAGTAATTTGTTACTTGACAATCATGATGATACTTGATCATCGCCATCAACTAATTGTCATGATAACATTTTTGTTCAGTACTAACAGTAGTCACAATCGATTGATTTTTCTTGATTAAATTTTTTTTTCTCGATTAACAAAAAAAAACTTTCAATCTCTTTCATTCTGATCCATTCTGAACTTATCAGAATGATAATATCTCATGGATTAATCTTATCAGATGAGTAAACAGTTATGATTCACTTGAATGATTTATTAACTGGACATACAATTATAATCAAATCAATATTTGACCAGAGATATTATTATTATTATTATTATTATTGATACAATTTATTAATAGTGTAAGGATCAGTGTTCAATGATATGAAATATTACATGATAACTATGAACAGAATATGATTAGCTGGAAATCACATTAGATATGATTAAAATGTGATTCCAAATGATAATTAATCATAATAGATTACAAGTTAATCTCAAAGGTAGTTTAATCTGATCAGATTATCACAATTTAGATACAATTTGTAACTAAATTATCATGAATCTTGTGAAATTTCAGGTTCTGGGAAAAGTTTAAAGACTCATGATATCAGAGGGAAAACTTGAATTTCAATGAAAACAAATGATGGAAAAGTATTTGAATAACTTATACTCAATACTCAAGGAGAAAAATAATAATATCATTAATCAAGAAATTAACTGTAACAATCAACAAGAGAAAATCATTTAATTTCATCCTGAGCATACATAAAGAAAGACAAATGAAGACAAATGATGCAAAAAAAAAGTTTCGCAGGTCAATTGACCTTTTAAGAAGCGGATACCAAACAAGATGATGGTCATTCTTGTTGACTACTGACCATCAGTTTAGATGGAAAAACAAACAACAGTTTCATCTGATTAAAATCAGAGTTTTTTTTATAATCAACATCAACAATATAACAGAAATGTCAATGAACGTTTAAGTTTTTTTTTCTTTACAATTTAAGCTCAATCAAGTTTACGCTCATTGTAAAAGTTATCGTAGCGAAACAAAAAAGTGAATGTTAAACTAAATTAAGATGATGACAATTAAAGTTGATCATCATTTACTTATCCATTCAGTAAGTGTCACCGGAATGGTGATTTTACTTACAACATACTGACCATGATGATTGAAGACCACAGTCAACAAATTGGTTACCCTTTAATTAACTCGTGTTGATTAATTACTATGATTCTTAAAACTTTTACCAACTTTTTAAATTGTCCAGTAATTGAAGGTTTGGTACAAAAATGATGAAATTGTTGTAATGAATTAATACAAATTGTTGACAGTCAAAAAAAGTTAGTAATTAATATCAGTTTCCAAGCAATTAACAATAGCAAGTATTGAAATTAAACCTTGGCAAGTTAACAATCAAACTTGCAACTATTGATATTTAATTTCAATCCAATCAAACAAATGTATTATTAAATTTTTCATGATACCATCATCAGGATAATGTAATTAAATTTGATTGCTATGTTTTTTTTAGTATATCAATGGTGATACTATTGATAATGGTCATCGGTTTAGCTATTGTTGACCATATGAAAAGGGTTTGGTATTGTTGTTGTTGCAAAAAGCTTATTGTAATACCTTATTAATTGAATGGTTTAGTTAATATTATTAATGGTCAGAAATAAGTTGAAAATGATCATTTTAAATTCAACAATTTAACCTTAAAAATGTTGCGAGGTGATAACAATGGTCAACAATAGACAATGGTCATCGTAAGGTGATAACAATAATAATAGGCTTTTCCCCATTTCCACCCAAACAACAAGGTAGAAACTGTCAAAAGATATAATTTAAAATCTCATCATGGGCTGATGAAAGTTCTGGTCATTAAAGATATCATATTACCCTGAATATGATCACCAGTATGTGTCCACTCACATAAACATCATTATTATAATTGAAATTAAAGATGACCATAAGTAACCTGATAAGTTATAACCTTAAAGGTAACGAAATTTAATATTTAACTTGAGGAAAACAAATCTAATACAATCTAACAAGGATTATATTCACCAATAGATTATAATTGAATATTGTAATCCAATATCACTAATCCATTAGGTTGATCAGTTTAATTGGAATTAATTTTCTTCCAAAAGAAAAATTATCATCAATATCTATTTATATTATGGTTAACCTATGCAACTGAATTAATATCATCCACTAATTTTAATGGATTCCAGGTAAATAGTCACAATTAAAGGAGACACAGGTAAAAGCTTTAAAATTCAATTTAATTGCATTTAAAATCATCAAATTGATAATGAGACTGATAACTTGTTGATATTATCATTTATTGGCTTGCAAATGATTTAAGTTGATTGTAAAAGTTAAATGGACTCATAACTGATCACCATAGGGATTGGAACCAGTTTTTTGTTTGGTTGTTTTTTGATTCGCCTGTAGTTTTGCAAATTACTTGTCATCTTTGTTACCTGTCTGTTGATTGTAATGATTACAGGTAACCTGATGAATTCTTAATTGCTTTGATAATAATCAGCAATTACAATTACCAATCACTAGCACCTTTAACCTTAAATTGTGACGTTGATTGTTAAGATATGAGAGAGAGAGATAATTATTACAAAGCAACTGTAGCATCTTCACTCATCAATTAAAATACAATTAGTATTCATTTAATTATCAAAATGATGATGACTTAATCATTTACCTGATTAGTATTTGATTTCTTTGTTTTTAATCCACCGGCGTAATTAAACTTTAATTGTTTCCACTGGATTTTCAGTTTGTTAATTATCAGTTTTAATCTTTTAAAAGTAAGAACAAGTTTTTCTTGTTTAGTTGTTATATCCAATGGTCAGTTTTTTTATATACTCTAACTGACCATTTTTCTTTGATTAACTTGTTGATTTAATCTTAACAATGTCTCATGAATGATAATAAGAGTAACAATTAACTTTTTCGCACCAATCTCCAATCAACTATTGAACAGTAACAATTGAACACAATGAGAGTAAAGTGACCGCTAAGGTTACATTGTAATGGTCAGTTATTATTACACCTTATTCATCATTCAAGGTGAATATGATAGTTATCATTCAATTTAAAAGGATCAATGGGATCATCATTCTCACCTTTTCATCCCTTTGTCCAGAACTTTTATTTTTTTTTTCTTTCCACAAAAGAAAATGGAAAATTAATCTTTCGTATTAACAATTGACCTTAACATGTATCATCCATCTACCTGTTAATCCAACTTATAGTAATCTCATCATCTTTCATCAATCACCTTTGCTGCTTCACAATCAACTTCCTCTTCCTTCATCAAACAAATAGATGAAAACATTAACCGTTACCCAATTGATGATAAACTATTTCATAATATTTTCAATTCATGTGCCAAAGATGCTGATTAGACTGTTGAGATTGATATTCTCGTTCTGATTCAGCTAATTTCAGATGAATGAAAATCAATGTGAACAAAAAAAACAAACACATAACCATCGTAATCACTTACACACATTTACAATTGAGTATTGGTTGTGTTAAGATGTTGAATATTAGCTAATTACTATCATTTAGTAGCAATTAACTTTGTCTCTATTACGTTTGGATAATTAGCTGGTAACTCATTCATTTTTTTTTTCGTATGTTCACTCAATCGTTAGTAAAGTGCTAGAACTACTAGAGAGAGAGAGAAAAAGTTTTCACTCAAAATTCATCAAATATTCCCACCATTTCTAATTTCATCAGTGACTTATTTCCTTGATTATTATGGTTGTTCAATCTCCTCTGAAGTTTTTACTTACCGATGGCCTTATACTCACCTAACTAGTTACTTGAGGGTGAAAATGATCATGGGAATTTAAATTAGAGACAATTGGTCAAAGTTATCATCAAGTAAATAAACTCACAGGTAAACTTAATTACCATGTAGTTGGTACATTAGTCACCCCGAAAAAAGTAACAAATATTCAGGTATCCAAGTGAAAAGAGTAACAATTTAGTAAGATAATTAAATGGTAATCATAGTAATGAAACAAATCCATTGATTGGACTAGTAATTACTGAGTAAACAAAGATATAATTTTCAGAGATTTATGTATCGCATCATCATCAGGATGAGGATGTTGATGTTGATAATAGTGACAATTTAACAGAGAGAGAGAGAGAGAGAGAGAGAGAGAGAGAGAGAGAGAGACAAAAATTAAGATGAAGAGGGAAAAGTTTACAGGTAAATGATGATGATGAGCTTGTTTTGTGTGTGTTCAACTTCATCAAGCGTAAAAATAATTGCATAACCTTTGAGTTTGTGATTCCAACTAACTACTGATGAAATTTCCCCTTTAACCTTAAATATCAACACGATGATAACTTCCCCTTACAGGTAACATTGTCTTATCAAGTGACTAAAATATCACAGGTAAAACTACCAACAGGTATCCGAGTGAATTTATCTCCAACCATGTGAATGTCCTCATCATCTTTAATATATGATAACAAAAAGTGATCATGTTAACAATTGACTGAGCAAAATGATAATAACTGAATTTTGATCAATTTGATTGGTAAATTTTTTTGCTTCTTCAACACAATTGATTATCATAATCATTTTCCCAAGTAATCAACAACAACAACAGTAAATCAACGGTAACATATTATGACAGAGTATTGAACTTATCACCTTACTGATGATGATCATCATCATCATGTAAGAATAATGGTTGAGTGAGATGAGAGAGAGAAAAAAAAATTGGTACAAGAGAAAAAAAAAGTTCTAATGATAAGAAAAAAATGATAGTTCGAAATGATGAGAATAACAAAATTGATGAAGATATTTTCTAACTAATGAGTTTACCTGAGTTGATGTTATTCAGATTCCCATGAAAATCATTATCATGTTTGACCCCTTGAATAGGAAATCTCAGTTAACTGTAAACATTGTTTACTCTTAATGTAATAACTGATGAAAATCTCATTACCATGAATATTGAGCTTCCTGAAGTGGATTTTCATTGAATTTTGTGATGAATTTTTTCAATTTTTTACTCAAATTTATTATGATTCTCATTCTGAGAGCGGCCAAAAAACTCATAAATTGTGACAATTAACTTTAATCATCTTCATTGAACTTAACACACACACACAGTGAGATGTTAATTATAATCAAGTTAAATCACCATGAATAATTGGACGCAACTAATTTAAATTGTTTGCTATTTAAATCATCAATTTGATTCAGTTAATCTATTGATTGGATTAATTCTTCAGACAATTAGTAAATTGTAGTTTTACTTGTTGATTTTTACTTTTTTAACATCGCTAATTGTTTCAGCCCTTTAGTCACGTTGGTTGATTAGCATTAGAATTAACAATCTTATAGTTTTTTTCTGGTTCCATGATAAAGAATCATGATTGGCATGAACACTGAGAATAAATTAATTTTTTATTTGTTTGGTTGATCATTTGATTGTTTAATCTGTAATTTGATCATTCAGGTGAAGGTTAATTGCTCTAGAAAATAAATTGTCTCATTGTTAACAATTTAAATGCTTCATTTGTATCATGATTACATGGTAAACATATTGGTGCATATTAATGTTAACAATCAAGACTATGAACTTTAATAGTAACAATTAAAACATTTCCAATAGTAAGAAATTGAAAATTAGATCAACTTTAATTGTGATGACTAACCAACGATACAAAATTTTCATTTCAATCTATTATTTTAATTCATTTGAAAAACTGACAATTAAACTGATTGATTGATTGCTGAACCATTGATCAATTTAATCTGAATTGAATTTGACTTCGGTAAACTTTGACTCGAAAACTATGTGATTGTAAAATGAGATTGACTTTTAAGTTAATTGTTACAATGATCAATATCTAATTACAATCAATAATCATGAGACCTTTGATTGTAAGATGAGTGTGTAGTTGCAACACTGAACTTTTTTCAGAACTTTTTTACCCTGGCACTGAATAGCTCTGAATACAGGGTGATGGTGATAGATACAAACTCTAGGCAATTTATGAGACTCTAAATTAATATATTTTACAAACAATTAGCGTGATTATTAATGAAAAGGTTTCAACCTTGAAAGTTTTGCAGTTCAATTCAGACAGCACCATGTTAATCATTATTATCCCATGAATGATGATGAAAGTAATTGTATCATTTACTTTCATTATCATTACAATATAAATAGTTAATAATAATTAGTTAACAGCTCAAGTGAAAAAATATTCAACAATTTCATCACATGTTAATATCATCTTCATGATGGTTAATGATGAAATTCATTCATCAACAGAATCCACAATTTTAAGGTGATTGGCTCAACAATCTACTTGTGAACAATTTAATAGCATGGTAACAATTAAGTCTTTTCATTTAATGAAGATATTAAATTCATGTGAAAACATGGGAATCACAATTAAATTCAATTCTTTGGTTTTTTTCCTTATTCTTTCTCGCTGATTGTTACATGAGGACAATTAAGATGAAATCATGGTGAAAACAGACAATTGAATTTATTGTTGGTGTATTTTCATTTTCAAATGATGATTTAATTAGTAATATATAATTTGTGAAGTTAATTACATTTGATTAGGAGACGATTTGCAAAAAATCACAATTGTTTCATAGCAATGAAAATTCAACAATAATAATAATCAAAATATTAGCAAAACAATTAAGTGTAAAGGATTAGTTGTGACTTGAGGTTAATTTGGTTCTATCACAATTTAACATTGTAGCAGTTAATCAAACGAAAGATAATTAGTATAATTAGTTAAATTGATTGGATCAATTGAGCAAAATTATATCACCATCTCAATGGTATCAAAAAAAAACAAAATACAAGAGAATTGATCAAAAGTCAATAATAATTAATTGATAAGCAATCGATAATTAGAATCACTAAAATATAGACAATTAGAATTGAATTTGTTCAGGTAGCATGATAATCAACAAGATGCCCTTAGGACTAGAAAACAAAGAGTACAAGAAAGATTCTAGCTGAGGAAGATGATCAATTTGATTGGGAAAATAGAAAGAGGAATTAGTTAATTAGCATTGATTGTTAGTAATCAACAAGAAATCAGTGAATATCAATGTTGATTGTTGATCATGCAAGTGAGTGAAGTTAAAATCAGTAATCCAACAATATCTCAATGTTTTTGTGTCCTATTAACTTGGAAAGTTATTGATAATTACTTAATCATTGATGATTGTCTTGTTGTGTTGCTGGTCTTAATTTCCGTTTCCTCTGTTAGATTTACTTTGGCTTTGAGTCAAAAAAAGAGATGATGATGGTAACGATGATAATATTGATGATTGGATGACAAAGATGGAGATGAGCTGATGATGATAGACATTTACATAGGATGGATGAAGATGCAGTTGAAAAATTGATGATAATCATTAACCATAAATCATGTGATGAAATGTTTCCCATTGAGAGTAGTGAGAATGAAAAAGTTTTCTGAATGAAGATAAAGAGATGAAGGAAAAATTTTCATCATCAAGAAAATCATTTCAATGTCATTTGTAAATTGGATTTACAACGAAAACAACATCATATTAGTAGATTAGATTACGTTGTGTAGGTGGTGGTGGTAGTGGATTAGAGGATTAGTGAAACAGTGATCAGCTTCAAGATGTAAACAATATAATCATCATCATTATATAATCAATCATTTGCTGTTCCCATAATTAGACCTGCACATTTTTTTCACCAATTGAAAGTTTTATATAAAACTAATAACAATAATTAATCATCAGTTAATTATCTATTCTGATTGGCATAATCAGTTCAGCGGTTATCAATGAACTAAATTAATCTTAGCCTGAAATAAATCATTTCAAATGTGATGACGATATTAAAACATTTCCATGAATAAAACATGATCCTAGTAACGATTATAGTTGATTGTTAGTAATTATATATTCTTTATATAAGGAAAATATTTCGAGTTTTGGTTAATTAGTCAATTGTTGGGTTAGTTTTTCTTTAAATGGTATTGATTAATTGTTGAGAGTTACCATAGAGCTCGACGATCTTTACAAGAATAATGGACCAGGTCACCATTAGGATAACGTAGAAAGGCACTAAAGAAGGAGAAGAGAAAAGGAAGAATAAGAAAGTGATAAAATATGATTATTATCATCAAAGTTCCCCTGAAATTCAATTCAATTGATAAATCATAGCATCGATACTCATCCAGTTTCATATATCAATAGCAAATTCAGCTTACAACTGTACTCATTTTACATGAATGAAAAATATATGAGAAAATGTTCCTCATGATTGAGTACAGATTCAGGGCATTAATTATAATCATTAGAAGATAATATCTCTATTTCCATATAATACAAATTGTTTTCTTATTCTAATTGATGAATTATTTATGTTAATTGAACATAAATGTGATAACATAAAGTAATTTCAATGTTAAATAATGATCATTTGATGTAAATTAGTTCACACAAATTGGTTAGATTATCATGTAATTGATGTAAATTGAATACACACCTAGTTCCAATACGTTTTTGACATTCTTTACATTTATCTGAATCTTCAACGATAATTTTGTACTCTTGGTGTAATTTAAGTCTTGCTTGTTGGACGGCCAAATGTTGTGATAACAATAGATTACGGTACATAAGGCCATCGTGACGATCCTTAATTAAGTGCATAGTAACGGTTTCGAGGAAAGATTTAATTGATATAATGTTTATGGTTGAAGGAAGGCTGAGAAGAGCACGAATTGGATCAATTTTGGTTGCATGGATTTTCAATAATCTCAGAGCTTCAATGATATTTTCTTGATAATTTTCATCGGTAATCTCATGATGCCAGGAAGATATTGATGAGGTTGAAGTGGTTACCGATGATTCCGAAGGTTGGTTCACATAAAGATTCAATAATATAAGAAATACCTGTAACAAGAAAGATGATTAGCAAATTTATCAGGTAAAAGTTGAGAAAAATTTCCATACGAATGAGTTAATCTCTAAGGGTGTGAATTTCATATCCACTTCCGTGTAAATCAATGAAATATACACACGGTGGGTTTTCTTGTTGTTATTTGATTGTAATAATTACTACACAACAAGATGAGTAAGATGATAAGAGAAAAAGTTTCTCAATCTCTAGGAATTTGGGAAAAACTCACACACATACAAATCTTAGGATGATGAAAGAAGATTTGAAAGGAATAAGATAATAATAAAACTTATCGTGAGTATTTCATCAATTTATTGAGCCTCATCATTCATCATACAGAGGAAAGAGATAAAAATGATGAAGATAATGATGATGAAATAGATGGGTGCAATAGACAGGGTTCAGGTCAAGGTTAAAAAAGTGAATCGTGAGTAGGAAAGTTTCATGATAATGATTATCTACTTGAATGTTTCAGAATTTGAGAAAAAAAGTTCTCTCTCGCTCTTTGAAAATATATACTGAATTTACAATTGAAATGAAGATGAACTTCAGATGAAAGTGATAGATATTGATGATAACTGTCGTTGAAACAATTAAGTATAAGATTAAATCAATAATACCATGTTTGATTAGCCAATTACAATGGTGAATCGTGGGGAGGGCAAGTTTATCAATAATATACATTAGGTATAAATCTGCAGGTTGAAAGCTATGGATGTGAATTATAATTGATGCGAAAATGATATTAACCTGATAATCATGACAATTCAATAGCAGTGATGGCGATTGAAGTTTCAACTATAGGTTAATTGTTGATTCAAAAACATTAATGATAATTTTCATCATCATCATTAAGAATTACCTTCCTATGATATGATTAGATGTATAATAATCTTGATAATGAATATAAAATCGTTTCAGTGACTCTGTTTTTTTTGTGAATGATTTCAATAGATTAAAATTGTTCATCAAGCTCATAGTTAAGACTCAATGATATCTTGATAACAAAAAAATAGCATTTATAGTTTGCTGCCTAAGGGTAAGAATAATGATCATTTGCATGATTAGAGATAATATCTACTATTGAGATTAAATTATTAACAAGAAAATGGAAGCTATAACATAGAAACCTTGAAAAAGGAAAATAATCACGATGATAAATAGCAATTAGAGAAAGAGAAAGAAAGAGAGAGAGAGAGAGTAAGCGAGTGAGTGAGTGAGAGTGAAAAATTTAACAATTTCAAGTGTTTACGAACGAGATATAATCTTACTCTCTTACCTGAGAGACATCAGATTAGTTCAGATTAACCAATCTACTGGGGATGATGATAGTGATTCAGATAAATCAAAAGATTAAGGATTATGTAAGTTGGTGAAAAATTCAAGGATAACTAATTATTAATCTGAAAGGTATTACTACTCGTTGAAAAAGGACAATAACGTGAACGGTATTCAAGTAAAAAATAAATACATTGTAATGACCGTGAAGATGAAAGTAGACAACTGATAAAGATGATGATCAAGATAAGCTAAAAAAAGAGTGATGAAGATAAACATTTACTCTCTCTCTCTCTATCTTTCAATCTCACAGTTGATCATCTGAAAACTCCCAATAACAAATAATCAGGCAAAAACTATGCTGGTCTAAATTGCAATAAACATTGAGAATCTTTGAGAAGCATGAAGACTTTCAGATCCTTATTCAGATTCATTAATGGTGCGGGATGTAAATTCAGAAAAAAAGGAAATATCATAAAGGTAAAGGTAGATGGAGGGTAGCAAAAGGTTGAAAGCCTCTTAATTAGCATCTTCCATGTCAATAAAAATCATCCCATCTCACGCTTAGACAAGAAGATGATCAGGTAAATGATGATAGAGAAAGCGAAAGATACACACACAGTAGATACACATATTAACATGATAACAAGGTGGGCTAACTGAGGTAAAGAAGATAAAGATTAGCATGAAAATTTTTTTTCTTCTTCTTCATTCTTATCCATATTATTTTCCGATAAGAGAAAAAAAGTTCAAATTCTCAATTGAACATGAATAACTTCAAGGTATGTAAATGGTTTATCTATTTTCATTTCTGTGGTTCTCTTGCATCTAATCTGCATCATTGATTAGGTTAATCACTGATGAGATGCTGACAGAGATCATGATTCGGAATAAAATATTCAACAGAAAAAAAAACACTGAAACTCAGTATTTTTCCATATATTTTTTAACTTCATTTTTCCGTCATCATCATCAGATAATAGTGAAGAAGAAGAGAAAAAAATTTCTAATCTTAAATCTGTCAACTCACTTTGAGATGTTATTGTGAATTGATGTTGATGACTTTCTGAGTCTCTACACTTTGGTGAAACAAAAAAATCTCTTCCTTTTAAAAAGCAACAGGGAGAAACAGTTAGCAAAATAAACTGTCCATCACTTTGTGAGTATCTATCTGTTTTTTTTTCCTTCCAACCCAAACCTGCATCACTTGTTTCTACCTGTAACTTTTGACTTTGACTCTTAATTGGTAAAATTTATGAGTAAGATTCAAATTACAGGGTTGACTGAAGGTTAATCTTTGCAGTGAGCAATTTATTTGACAATGTCAATGGCATTTGATTAGTTGTAGTGCTGATTGTTGATCAGAGTCTATACTCAGTAATTTTTGTCTGCTCAATATGATCAATTGACAAGGTGTGAATCGGAAGTTGCTAATGATTAAGAAATCGGTGAAACTTACATCTCTATTGTTGGGATTATCTTTGCTGTAGACTTTGATACAATATTGTTCCGCTTTATTATAATCTCTTAAGTAAAGAGCATAGATGGACAGAGCATCTTTATGGTGACCCATTTTACCGGAAACTATGGCTCGTTCTTCCCAAAGTTCATCGTTAAGTAAAAATATTGATAGAGTTTCAGTTGAGTAAAAGTCTGAAGTTTCAAGAAAAGTGAGCAATTTTTTCCTAATCAATCCAAGATCACCAGGTTCTTGACCAGCAGGTAAAGGTAACTGTCCCTCTGGAAGGGAAACTATATATTCTTCACGTAAAAATTTAACCTTTTCTCGGTATTTGTTTGCAAGAATATTATGAAATGTTGGTGTTCTATCCTTCCAAATTGATATTATATGTTCCAGGTAAGGGATTATAAGTTCAGGGCAAATTTTTTGTAAATATTCAAGAACAGCGTCACGAGGAAGTGTTTCCGTTTCTGCAATATCTTCACTGAAAATACGTAATCCGTCCAATGGATGATCTTTCAATACCCATTCAGCATATTCAAAAATAAGAGACAAATTAGATTCACCAAGATGCTGAAGATACTGAATTGTCCTTTCGTGACCAGGTAACGATGAATTTGGTTGTTTAGCTTGGATAAATAGTAAATCTAATGCTTTCCTATGTAAACCTCGGGTTTGATAAAAAATAATTAAATCGCCATATTTGTGATATCTTTTTAGCCAAGTTTCACTTTCTTGTAGGTGACAATGATTATCAGGTAAACGGACCAATGAAGAGACCAAACCATCATTTGTTTGTAAATAACATTTGAGTAAAGTTGTATCAACAATTTCCAACAATTTATCACGAGATTTGAGATACTGTTTAAAAGATGGAGATGAATTTACTGATGATGATTCACAATTAGCTGATTGATTGTTTGATTTATTAACATTGTTAGTATAACTGGAAATTGATGATATGGTCTCACTTTCTTCACTAAGTTTTTGAAGTTTTTTCCTAACTTCTAATAGATAATCAATTAGGGCAAAAATTCCAGCTTCAATATCGGCTCCTTTAAAGACTGGTGGTTCATGGGGATATTCAAGTTCATTGCGAAAATCTTCCGGTAAAAATCCTGGAAAAAATCCAATCACAAGAGATGGATGAGTTTCGAGTTTAAGAAATAGATCCATTGCTTTAACGAACTCCTTTTTACAGAAATAATCAAATGCTTGAAGATTTTCAATCTGACCAATGATCATTTCTTTTCGTTTAATTGATTCCGGTGCATCTGATTCAAAATCGGGCGATATGTTGACTAATTGCTTGGCGAGGTCGAACTCTTTACTTTGGATTAGTTGTGATGTTTGTTGATCAATGGGTCGAGCAACTAAACAGTATAAATCTTTGTTCGAGCAGACAAAAAGGATTCCTTTCTTGTCCACACAACGGATAAGATGTTTGAGTTTTCCCGTTGCTCCGCTGGTCAGTTCATCGATTCGCTGAATGGATAAACGAGGTTGAGCTGTTCTAATCTCGACAACATTATTTGGTAAAAGAGCTATCAGGTAGGGAGAATCTTCAACTAATCCAAGTGGACAATCAGACCAGATAACGGGACATTTGAGGATTGATTTTGCATCTTGTTCGAGGAAAAATGTTTTCTCATCAATTCCAACGGCAAAACGATCACCCTCTAAGGAGGTTAGTAAAGGTTCAGGATATTTTCCTAAGGGAAAAAGTTCAGTTTTTTCACCAGAAACTGAGATCATACAGTATTCATTACGAAAGCCAACACATAGTGACTCTGAACACCAGGCAATTGCTTTTGGTGTATCAGGAACATTAATATCTGGAGCCAATTCCAAGAATTTATCATTTTTCCAATAAAAAAACATCAATTTCCTCTTGACAACGACACACATTCTCAAAGTGTATTGAATATCACCTAAAAGAAAAATAAAAAAATCCAAATGAATAAGAAGCGAAATGACCAAAAGCTATTGTACAATGTAAACAAAGTAATATGATTCATGGATATAGAGTGGAAAATATGAACATTAATCAAGATCAAAATTTCATTATTTTGACAAGATGCTTGTCACCAGGATGAAAAACACCCTACACATCATATGACAATCAAAAGACTAGAAGCGCAACAATAATGGGATAAGTTGGAAATGGATTAATGGATAGAAAAAGAGTTAATAATGTAAAGAAATTGAAAATTTCATCATTCTAATAATATCCTGAGAAAATGTGGATTTTCTTTCCATGAAAGCTTAAGAATAGAAAAGAAAATAACTTTTGAATCCATGAAGCAAGAGAAAAGTTAAAATATAAACTGACCAGTTAGGGTTTGACATTTGAGTACATTTAAGACAAAAAGTGTTGCTCCTTTAGTCTTATGGAGACTGGTTAGCAAAGGTGAGACCACTTTATCTAGATCATGAACATTAACCAGATTATCGTAAAGACTGATGATCAGATGAAATTCAGGAACTCCAGCAACCTGAATGATTGGTTTCTTAGAGAAAGCTTTGTTTGCTCTTAACAGGTGAACATCAAACTTTAACTCTAATTTTTTCATAAAATTAAGAGGGAAAAGAAACATAACAACAATAAGATATTAGACTCATAAAATGAAACCACACAAAATTAACTAATTACCTTTAGTAGGCTTAAGAATTAACTTAAACAACAATAGGTTACCCTGTTTGGTTCCGACAAGTAGATGATCACCATAAGCGTGCATACACTCAATGTCCAAGGGATAGTTTTTAAGGATCGAAGTAGTCCTGTAAATCTCCAACATATCACTTAAAAACCCCAAAAAAATTCTAAAAAAACAATAGAAAAAATTGAACAAATAAAAACAAAAAAGAATAGAAAACAAATTAATTAACAAAGGAATAAATTTTCTTAATGAATCATTTTTTTCTCAATCAAAACAATGAAAAATTTTCTTTTGTTTATAAATCAAAAGCCTAACATCATATGTTACAAATGACGAAAACGAAAGTAACTCCATCTCTTGACAATCGAGTAAACTAAAAATCGAACTAATTTCAAATCTTTTCTTTTTTTTTCCATTCCAACAATTAACTTTTTTGTTTGTTTGTTTTCTTTTTACTGTGTTAATTAATTAGTTACAATTAATTCTGTGAACAGATTGTTTTTTTTTGACAAGAATAGAATAGAAGGTTTATTTTGATGGATGATTAACTGTTTTTAGAATGTTATTGTTTAATTGTGATAAATAGTCGAAGGTTAATTGTGTTTCTCTTTGTTGCATTATTACAATTTTCATTGATTTTATTTAATTTTGTTTCTCATCACAATCAATGACAATCATTAATTACCAATTGATCATAGAAAACAATAGGAAGCAAATTTTGATCAATACACGAGTACAGAGATAATTAGACTGATTGTTATTGATCATTTAGATTTACAATTTACTTGAAAATAGAAGGCAAAAAAAGTTAATTATCATGAAAGGCTTAACTAATTTTCTCGGTAAGATTTTCATTGATTTACAATTTTCTTCGATCTGTTTGTAATCCATTTTCCTAATTACAGTTACAATTACTTTAATTGTCTCCTCGTTGGTCATCATAACAACAAATGGACAATATAATCCATATTATCCTCCTCAGTATCCTTACTACCCTCAACCTTACCCTCAACCTTACCCTCAGCCTGTGAATCAATATCAAACTGGTGAGTTTTTGTTTCTCATTCAATTTTAATTCTGAGTCAATAAAGTGATTCTGATTAACTGTTTTCAAATCCAGGTACATGTCCAAACGCCTTGACCGCTCCATCAAATGGAGCCTTAGTCTCTGGTTGTGCTCCAACCATCGGGAGTGTTTGTACCTTTTCCTGTAACTCGGGTTACACTTTGTCCGGATCATCAACGGTTACCTGTGTAGCCCCTGGCTACTGGTCATCTGCCGCTCCAACTTGTTCAGCGAGTACAAGTGATTATCTTTGATTAATTAAAGCCCTTTCGAGGCTGAAAAATGCAATTTCGAAGGTTCAAAATTATGAGAAAAAAAAAGTTCTAATTGTAACTTTTTCCCTTTCAGGAGTAATTGGCTACCTTGCTGTTCCCAATAGAGGATTTGGAAGACCATATGTATGGTCAGTATTGTCCATAGATTATTAAATCTAATCCAGAAAAAACCAATCTAGTAATTAAATTTTCTTTTTTCAAACATTCAGGGGATAAATTGTCAAGCTCGGAAATCAATACTCATCAATTAACTGATATTATGAAACAACTATCAACTAATCATCTCTTGCACAGTTAATGTAACTTCAATAAAAGCTTAACTGCAATTAAACAAATTCAATTGACTCATTCTCGTAACTAATATTTTTTCCGATTCCAACCAATAGAGGACGTTTCCGCTGTTTCTATTGAAAAAAGTTTTCCTAATCAATTTGTTTGAACTCAGTCAGATTTGAATCAAAATTGACTAAACCGTTGATTGTTTGAGTGCAATGTTACATATTATACATGTATTTAATTACAATAAACATTAATCATCATTATAATCATATTATAATATATTTACGTCTCTAAGTAAGACGAAACTAATGTGATTCCTGGTTAAAAGTTACAGTGTAAGTTAAATGTAATAGGTTAGATTACATTCTGATCATAATTAAGGTAATCATTGAATCAATCAATGAATTAAATATGACATTATTATGAATAGTAGACTGAGATATGATTACAATAAGATGAGTGAAAAAAAAGTTCACATGGTAACAATTTGTTTGTACTATTTTTCCCTGTGTCTGAGTTATCAAATTTCATATATGATGAACAGACTATGATTAGTTAATTACATGATTTAATTAAAGATAATTGAGTCTGAAAGATTTACAATTAGCTAACCTTGTTTGTTGCTACATTTATTTGTATTTGATAGACACAGTTATTAGTATTTTTCATTTATAAATATTACAATTTAGATTGAAATGAAACGAGATAATTAAAAAGTTGATTAAATAACAAGTTATTTCAATTAAGATTCTTATTAAAATGTAACCAATTTTTGGGATTTTATTTGAAATTTTTGATTAATTTGACGAAAAAGTTCAATTATATTCATGGTAATCCATCAACTCAGAATCAAGATAATCAGTTACATAGTCTTAAATTGTTATTATGAGACTTTCAACTCAATACAATTTGAAACAATCAAGAAAAACATGGAAAAGGACACAATGGAAACTCATGTAATAAGATTCATGATAATCTGATTCACAATTGTAGGAATTGAGGAAAAAGGTAAAGTAAGTGGAAATTCAGTGATATATTTTTTTCTTTTGATTTTGTGTCTTCAATGAATGTAAGTTAATCCATGAGACAATCGGACATTGGTCAAGATTATGTGAGAACAAGAAAAAGAGAAAAAAAGTTGAAAGTAAATATTTGAATTGGGAGAAGGAAAAAAAGTTCATTCAAAGGTTCAGAGTAAACAGAATTGGGATTGGGATCAATGGACATTGACATTGAAACTGACCACTACTCATCGAGTAAATATCAGTGACATTTAATTTAATTCAATTGAATGATTGAATTAACAATCATTAATGTCAATTTAAGTCAAGATAATCAATGATTATATTTTATTCTCATTCGGTTTAATTTGATAATCTCAAGTATCTATTATCAAAAATAACTTGATATCAATGCTAATAATTAGTCAACTTAATCAATTGAAATTGCATTAATATTTACCTTCAATGAAAAGAAAGACCTTTAAACAATCAAGATAATTGTTTTTCAGTCTCAATATTTAATCAGCTTGATTATTACCAATTAACACTGTAAACAATTAATAATAACACAAATTGTGATAGACACTTTGGTTGATAACGATTCACCTTAACGAGAATTTAATAAATTGGAATGGGAAAAGTTTTGATTAACCCAATCAACTATTAGTACATAGAAACAAAAAACGTTTTCTATTAATAATTAACTAACTAATTAGAAAACCTTATTACTGATTAGCTGGTTCGTTTATAGATGTATCAATATATTAAATTTAATTACATTTAGGTAACAATTAAATGAGAGATCCAAGAGCAAAGTAATGGATTATGATTTAATCTGATTGCCCAATACAAATGATTGATAATTAACGTTTAGGTTAATGATATTATTACAATTTGAATTGATTGTGATCACAAAGTTACTGTTGATTTAATGACGATGATTAAGAGATGATCAAGTGCAATTAAGATAAATTGTCATGGTTTCCAATGATAATTCATAATAAAATGAAAATTTATATGCAAGAAGAAATCAAGTGAAACCTAATCAACTTAATTCCTTATAATAAGTGTTAATCACCAAATAATTTAATGATTAAAAAATGATTAACTCCAATTGAATGACTATCAAATCAAAATCAATGGTAATTAAATTGAACCGCCAACTATTGTTGACCATGTAAAGAGGTAAAAATATCAATCATGATGATCAGCTCATTCAATTAAACCTAATTGTATTGTATTGTGTCAATTTGAAATAAGTTAATCAGTGTTAAATCAACAATTTAAATGTCAACATAGTAAATAATCAACGATTTTTTTGATTGGACAAAATTTTGAAAACTTTTCTTTTCCCTCCAAGTGGATTTTGATTGAATTAACCTAATGATGACCAATAACATTCACGACGATGACCAGAGTTCATATTCGAGACCATTACCACCCACGCCAAAGTCATCATCCTCTTTTCATCTTATATCTCGACTCAAAGTCATCCCTGGAATCGGAATTTTATTTGGAACTTTTTCCGGAATTCTATTCGCCTTTAGCACTGCAATGGTTAAATTTCTTCCAAATATCAATCCATTCGAGATACTTTGCTTCAGGTAATGTTAAACAATCGAATTGAACAAAAAGATAAATTCTAATTCTATTCTAATTTGATCAAAAAGCACAATTAAACGCAACAATTAGTGAGGAAACAATTGATTACATTAGCAATTCATCTTCAATAATCATCATCTTAATTGTACCCAAAGATGACAAAAGTTGATCCATCATGATAATAACAAGTTAGTCAAGTTAAAATCAACATTTAACACAACAATCAACTTGAACAATTTGTTGATTTGATTGTACAGTTGTAAGTGTGTATGTATTTATATTGATAGTCAATCAATTGTCACCAAAATGTGAAAAGTTGCTCAGTTACAATTAAAACTAAAACAGGAAACGAAACACTCAACTTGAAGCATTTGATTAATTATCAATTCATATTTATAAAGTTATTAGATTAACAGTCCAACAGTTTACATTTAGTTAATTATTAATCGCTTAAAGAGACAATCAAGATTACTATCAATCAATGTTAACTATCAACAAACTCAAAGATTGTGTGATGATGATCATACATTATAATCACTTGGTAAGGAGCTATAAGTTATTCATTATAAATGATAAAATAATCAGCAATCAGTTAATTTAGTTTATGAATCTATTATATTGCCCTAGAGATGAAGATTACATTTTTTTGTTTTCCCCATTGATTTCAATAAACTAATTCCCTATTAAATTTACCTTTTATTACACTTATTTGATTCAGAATTTAAATCATATCCAAATAGTTAATTGTGGTAGTTGATATTTATAGTTTAATAATGATTATTTGACCTAATCAACTTTTGATTAATGAATTTTGTGTTAATCGAGATGGTTAATTCAGTTTCCTTTGCTACAAATTAAAGGCAATACAAGTTTGATAACTAATACATATGAGGTTATGTTGTTACAAACAAAATCCACTAAACAATTTAAACTTACAAATGAAATGATTAAGTTTGTAAACAATTTGATTAATTAATTGAATTCTCTTTTTCTAAATCATTTCACTAGTTCCTAATTGTTTCCAATTTGATTGTTACTCGTTAGTTTTTCCTATTATAAAGATTTACATTGACATTTTGAAAGGAAAACCATGAAAACTGTTCTGATTATTGGAAAATAGTTTCAATTTATTTAAATTGTATTCATTTGTTTGATAAATCAATTGAGAAAATAATGGAAAACAATTTACTTTATTATTAATAATATAATAGATTGTGAAAATCATTACGATTATCATGATTTACATTTACAACTAAGTCGTTTGTCCTAAAACTTAATCATTTGAGCTCACAATTAAATCAGTTGATTTATCATCTCTAATAACATTTCAAAAGTTTCATTTCAATAATTCACAAATTAACTCAATAAATGAATGAAAAATTATACATTTCAATTGGTTTTCTCGAGCTCCCATCCATTCAATGTTCAATTGCAATTATATTTTAATGATGATTTGATTGATTTTCCAATATAATTTAAATTGTTATCTATCGGCAGTTAACCAGAGCATTTATTACTATCATAATCAAAGAAAGGTCAATGTTTGCTTGATATTAAGGTCGAAATGTTTAATAATAATAACATGATAATGGTCATCGACTAATGGTCATTATCATGATTCTTGCTACCAGTTAATGTTATGAGTTAATTTTTGAACAATAAAAGTACAATAATAAAATGCTACGATTACTATCAAAGAAACAGTTAATTGTCTGTTGTAAATTGTAAAGTGAACAATTAATAATTGAATTGTATTGGTAAACAAAATTCACCAATTTTCAGGCAAATGAACTCAAGGTAAAATAAAACGAGTTGAACAACATAATTAAGATGGTCTCAGTATTATAATTCATCTCGTTTGATATTAATTCAAATATGGAAAATTGAAATTCACCATGATGATCATCATGGTGATGATGAAAATGAATTTCAAGAATGTTGAAATAGTTGCTGACACTTTGATACGTATATTATAATGATGAGAAAATGAGCAATACTAAATAGCGAAACTAACCTTGGGTAATATTAGACAAATAAGATTTTGATAGAGGAAAAAATTATCAAATCTATTATGTTGTTCACGTTCACAATAGACTATTGGATCTTAATCATTACTGTGAGAAACATGATGAAATTCATAGTAACCCTGAGGCCATTAAATGTATTCTCATTTTTATCTCATTATCATCAAGTTGCTCTTGTTTGTTTTGTTTTTCTAATATGATCGACATGAACATGTCACTTCCTCAGTGGGACTTGAAACACGAACTAAAATTAGACACAATTACCATTCACCTAGAAATTGATTATCTCCCAGAAGGGTAACTGTTAATACTCAATGTTTAGCAGCTTGAAATGGTCAAGATGATATTTTTTCAGCTCATCAAGTGTCCGATTTAGGACAAATAAGGCGAATGCTTTTCCTGTGGTCAGTTTTAAAAGTCAACTTTTTTGTTATCAATCAACTGATTATATGAGAAACTGTAATTTCCAAAAAAGTATAATGTTTAATTTGTTTTTGTCTTTCAGGTCGATTGTCCAGATTTTCATCTACCTGTTAATCATTGTACTTAAACGTGACAATATCTTGGGGGTGGCTGGCGAAAGATGCTGGATGAGTGCTGTGAATTTGGTTGGTTTCCTTTTCCTGGGATTGGCTTATGTGGCGATCCGACTCATTTCGCTTGGCGATTCATCGGCGATTATTTTTTCCTCTTCTGTTTATGCTTCCATTTTTGCTCGATTCATCCTTGCCGAACCTTGTAGCCCAATAAACGTGATCTGTATCGCACTGGTCATCTCTGGAGTCCTTCTCATCTCACGTCCAAGTTTCCTTTTCGGTGCAACAGTTTACTCTTATTCAACATTTGACCGAACCCTTGGATTAACCTTATCACTTGTCGCTTCCCTTTCAGCTGCTCTTACTTATGTTATGATGAGGAAGTTAAGGAAAACTGCAACTTCCGTTACAATGTTTTGGTTCTCATTTACCGATTGGTCACTTTCCCTAATTGTGGTTCTTATACAAGGACAGTTAACACTTCCTGCCACAGCTCATGAATGGATTTTACTCATTTCCAATGGTGTCATTGGAACTGGTGGATTAATCCTTCTTGGATTAGCATTAAAACTAGAAGACGCTGGACCAGTTTCATTGGCTCGAACCATTGACATTGTGGTTGCTTTTATCATTCAGATAACAATCTTAAACGACCCAGCACTTTGGACAAGTATCGTTGGGTCAGTTATCATTGTCGGTGGAGTTGGTATTTCAGCCATGAGACACTTTATCATGGAAAAAATAAACGCCATGAGAAAAGCCTCTTCTCTTAAAAGATCAAACCAAAGTATCACCAACACAACAGGACCCCAACTACAGCCCTCACCACCCCTAACAGTGACCTCACAATCACCTAAGAAACGTCAACTAGTACCAACAATCAGCATAACTCAACACTGAACTGAATAATAATAAACCGAATCCATAATCATAATAATTCAACCAGGGAGTTAATTCCTTGTGTACTTTGTTTTATACTTAAATTTATGCCTCATATTTGATACGATAACTGGTTACAAAATGATTTGCTTGATAAGCACAAAAATAGTCAAGCAAGAATTGTAACTCTAACCATCAGTTAACCCACTCCCTAAATCCCACTCTCAATTTGTAACCTTCACCCTAATATTTATTACATGAAAAGTTTTCCTGAATAAAAGTTAATCCAAAAAAAAAATCACAACTTAAACGACAGCAAATTCATTGTCACCTTTGATGTTTCAAATTGGATTTTGCAACTTAATTGTGATAATCATCAAAGTGATCAATCCAATCAATGATTTTAACTTTGTCTGATGAAAAAAAGTTAATCAATGAACTTTAATGATCTTGAAATGGGAAATCTCAATTCTTAAATTGAATGCCAAGAGTTTAAAAGGTAAATCTTCATGATCGATATTTATATCTCATGGATGTTCAGATTAGTTCATTTGTTTCAGCAAACTTGAGATTAGCATGTTGAATAATCAATTTGATTTCATTTCATTGACACCAGTGATTTGATAATTGATCAACTTAATCAGTTGAATAATATGTTGACGACGAAAGATAATCATTTAAATTAAATTACTTTGACTTTAATTGATGACACCACACCTCATGGGATTATCCCTAAGGATCTTTAATCAATACATGAACTATAATTAAATTGATTAGCATCACATTGAAATCAATTTTCATCATTTTCTCATGCAAGAGTTTACAATCCAATCTTAATCATGGTGTCAATGAATTGCTATTTTGCTATCACCCAATAAATCAGATTGAAAATCAATGAAATTCAGTGATACAGTCTATAAATATCACTTCATCACAAGTCTACACATGAGGAGTGAAAAAAATGATTTCAATTATTTATCGTGATGATAATGATTAGAGATACAAAAGAAATCAATCATTCTGAACCAGTCGTTAGATCAAATTATGAATTTTTCCTGAATTCAGAATTTCTGACCAAAAATTCATGCAAAAAACTCAACTTGCTGAATAAATCTTGAGCCAATGTTGCGCATGATTATCGTTCTCCCTGTAAGATAAACACTCTCACTGTTTCTTTTCTCATCTCATAACAATTTTATCGCATTCTCTCATCATGAACATCATCATCATCTCACTTTCATGGTGAAATCTCTATTCTTGGCTTGTTCTCCTTCCTCTCTTCCTCTCTTTATCTATTCATCATTCCCGATTGGAATACAATTCCCACCTCATGGTAAGAGTAAACAATTTTTCTTCATCCACCTTCATCTCTTTGATTCATTAAGTGTAACCTACTAATGTGATGAACTTGAACCCAACCGATTGCAATATCATCTCATTTATATTATACATAATTCAACTGGACAACATTATCATCATCAGTTAACTTAAATCAACTTCATCAAGTGGCAAACTTTATAATTTTGATAATCGATTTTCAATTACTAAACGATTGTCATAATGATTGAAATTCAACGACACTTTGCAGTTAAATTTTATTTTTAATCTCACCATTGAATCTTAATTGATTGAATAGTTGTTGGTGTTTAATACAACATTCCCACTCCCACTATCCCTTAATCCTTAATCCTTAATCCTTATCCTTTCATCACAATGCCTGAGATACTAAATCTTCATAATACAAGTTACATTACAATGGTTAACATTTCCTCTAATGTTAATCTATCCGATTTCGAGGATTTTGTCTCTGGACTTCGTCAGGACTCATTGCTTGAGATTATTTTATATTCTCTTCTCTTTGTTTCTGGTGCTATTGGAAATCTATGGGTGTTTTTCAAGCAACGACAGAAAAGCCAACGTGATGCTAGAATCAATTATCTTCTTCGGCATCTTAATTATGCCGATATGTTGGTCATTTTTGGTACAATTTTGATCGAGATAATCTGGAGGATTACCGTTTATTGGCATGGGGGTGAAATATTGTGTAAAATTGTTTCAACTTTCAGGATATTTTGTGTCTACCTGTCCAGTGTTATGCTAATCTGCATATCGGTGGACAGGTATTTTGTATTTGTCCATCCATTGAGTTTCATTAATCGGGAAAAACGCAAAACAATTTTAATCCATGCATCGTATGTGGTCAGTGCTTTATCCGCTTTACCTCAGGTAAGCTTCAGAAATGAATTATTATTATTATTATTATTTCAAAATAAACAAAAAAAGATTCAACATTGTATCAAAATCTGACCATTGATCATGAAAAATTCAGTAGTTCCCATGAAATAAATGTTTATTTCATCAATTACCTCAAACTTTTTATTCATTTTTTATCCCAACCTAATATTTATCATTCATCTCATTATTATGACAATGATAATGATGATGAAGATGATGATAATTATCCTGTCATCATTACCGATGAACTTTAATTTCTTCATGGTGGAAATGGTTAAATCAACTAATCAAGCAAGAAAAAAATGCTTTGAATTATTATTAACATTAAGTATTCAGCTTAATGAGAGATAATTAATTAATTCATCCAATCATTAACATTTAATGAAAATAAACTTTAATCTTCATTCATTTACTAATTATTTTCATCTTAGATGTTAAAATAAGAAGCACGATTTGATTATAAATCTAATTAATATTATGTTTACTGATTAAGATTGTGAAGAAAATGAATTATCTTTGAATGTCTTTGATTTTCAATGAAAAAATGATAAAATTTCAATGACAATGAATCGTTGCTCAGATTTTCATGGTGAAAGACATGATATATATTTCTAAATGACTTGAAACTTTACCATGAGAAAGTTTTCCTCCCTATTGATAATAAGTCATCATGATCTAGCCCTTGATCCATTATACTAATGATAATTAAGCTAATTTACAAGTTCAACTAATCAACTTAACAATCTAACAATCAAGTATCATGCAAAAAAAGTTCATTAGTTTGTCTAGTGTTTTTTTTCACTCTCATGAACGGATATCCATATATTCAGCTTCATGATTTCACTTAGAATCAGATATTAATTTAGGTGAATATTGAGTTTAAAGTGTTTACTTTTCATGTAGGAAAAAAATGGTGGGAAAAACAGGGAATCTTTAAAAGTGAATCTGATTATTTTCATGATGTTTTCCACTTAAATTTTTTGGAACTTATCATAATCATGATTCAGAGAAGGGGAAAAATATTGAAATTAATGATGAACAACAATCAATCAAGGTAATGAATTCAACTGTTACTTATTATGTTATCATAATAGGAACATGATATTACTCAACATTATAACGATTGAATGTTATTAATATTATGAATTTGGTATTGAAATGAAATCGATGGAGTAAGAAAAGGAAGATGAAGTAAAAAAATTGTTCTAATGTTTCATATTTCGATATTTCGAGTTTTTCAAGCCAAAGGTTGAATATTGGAAAATGATAGGTTAAGGTTTCCATGTGAACATCAATGAACTTCACCTGAACAAGGTTATATGTCCATGGGAATTTTGATCGACGAGGAAATTTGAATTTTTTGCTCTTCCTTTTCTGATGAAAGGAAACGAATACAAGTTTATCTACATGACTGAATTTCCACTGAACTTTTTTTTTGCATGATAATCAACAATTGATACGATTTTCTCTCGACTGTCTCAGGAATGGATTTCATCTTTCACAATAGTTGAAATATCATCAACTTTCAAGGTTGAATGATCATTCATCTTGTAAAGGTGAATGAATCTAAATCGATAATCAGTTTTGATTGTTTACAATTAAGATGTTCACAGGTATTTCTCTTATTTCCTTTGGTTGGTTAATAATCTTGGAATTCAGATTCCAAAGTAAAACACCAAACACTCACCTTGAATCTCAATAGAATGAAAAAAAGAGAGAGAAATAAAGTTCATCATGAATGCGAAACAAAGGAAAACAAGAGAAAATTAGAATTAAATTTAACTAAATCAGTTAATTCTGATTAATTTGCTTTCTTCTTAAAGGTTCATCAACCAGTATACAAAAGATTAACATCTCATTATCAGAGTTGATTGAATTTAAATTGTTCACCAACTAAATGAGACTCATTTGATTATCTCTTTGCTTCATTATCATTCAGTAAAATTATCACTCTGATTACAATCAATTTAATTACTGATTAGTCAAGTATAATTAGTTATCTGTCCACTATAATGAATACATTAATATATCTGCTTATGAGATTGAATTTTGATTGATAATCAAATCAGATTAAATTGTCATCATCCATTTTGATTATTCAAATAGTCACAAAATTGTAAAAATTATTCATATCCTAAAGATGAACAATTAATGATTATATTATGATTAATATTATGTGAAACAATTAATCAAAAAAAACAAAACTAGTCAACATCAATCAGTTAATTATGATTGATGGTTGAATATATTAAAACAATCAAAATGGCAACTGATAATTGTATCAATTTATATAAACAACAATTGACTCTTGATGAAGAAACAAATTTAAATTATTCAAATTGTATCAGAAAAAAAGTCAATCAAAGTGAGCACATTAAATATTACCAATTGTCAAAAGTTTATCATCACCATGATCAATATATTGAGTAACATTGTTCAGTTCAAGTTCATGATATGAAAGTTCAGGATGATGATACATAAACTCAGTGTATACCAGGATCATGTAATTACCATGATAAATTGTTCATGATTGTTTTGCTTCTGAGAGGATTGAATTAAATTTACATTGATTAAGGAAAAATAAAATAAAAGTTCCAACTTTTATTCAGATACATTATTTGAAATTTTTCTCCATGAGAAAAGAATAAGAAAATATCTTTTCTCTATCTCCTGTTATCTGAATCAAGAACTTGGCCTACCATGAAGATATACATGCATTTATATATATAATATATTCCGAATAATTTTAATGTTTATATGATCAATAAAATTGAACTTTTCATATTCACCATGATGATAATGATGAAAAATGATTTACTTATATTGAAGATAATGAAACTGAACATTTGTAAATTATCATGATTGAGTTTGGGAGAAAAAGTTTTTCGGGAAAAAATCTCAACTTTATCGTTACATTTGAATGAATTTATGATTTAATCACATTTATCATGAGAGATCATCAGAAGTTAACAATTTATCTCAATCTATTAATACAGTAGTAACCATTAATTGCAAACATACATAATAATAATGATAATAATTTACCGTTAGATTATAATGATTATATTTGTATTACATTGTTTTTAATCACAAAGTACAGATCGTTAATCATTGATTAGACAAAAATATCCAATCATCATGATAATTAACAGGATAGATTGTCATTGATAAACAACATCAAGCAATGATAAAAGTGTGAAGAAACAATTAAACTTTATCATTTGGCTAATTGTACAAATCAATCAACCTGATTACAATTCACAAACCATTAATAATACGACTATCCGGTTGCTTCAGTAATTGAAAGTTAATCTAGTGGTCAGTTGGAAAGTCAACCTAAATTGTTGCTGCAGTAAAGTTAATTAACTGTCCAGCGATTATGATTATCCTAAATCTGTATGTTTACCAACGAAAGAGTAACTATTAATATTAATAAAAGTCACTCTCAAGAAGTTTGTTTTATTTACATACGAATCCAGAGTCTTCAGGATGAAAGGAAAAAAAATCCACCAGAACTACAAAATCTAAGGGAATTGTCATATCTTTTTCCATGTACTCAGAATCTTATGAAAGAATTTTGTTTTTTTTTCTTCTTCCATGCAAAGAAAAAATTCATTGCTCATTAACATGATAACATAATGGACACTCACTGAATGTCCAGCTGAGTAAATTTCATATTATTCCCTGAGAATCGCCTGAAAAACTAATATATATTAGTTTTGTCATTCAAATGTTTTTGATTTGTAGATTTGAATCTTTTTTTATTAGCCTTATTATTGTATGGACACACTGGAGTGTCCAGTGGGCAAAGCAAATGAAAAATGTCAAATGTCCAGTCAAGCTTATGGTTGCTTTTTTTCCCCTTTGATTTTCATGTGAATTTATATGAATAAAATCAGTCAACTGATGGACTTTTAAATCTAGTATTTTTTAATGTTCTCTTTGTATCGAATCTACCAAATGACCATCTAGATGATGTTTATAATGATGATGATGATGACCATCGATGACCATTGTTATTATATCCATGTTATTGTAACTGTGTCCAGTTTCAACTGAGTCTCTTGTGTCTTTCCAATATAAAGGATTGATTGAGAAATTTATTGATAAATGCTCAGTGAAAGTGTGGGTGGAAATGAATTATGATGAACAGGAAGATGATGGTCAAGAATTGAGAGAAAGAAAAACAAAAAGATTCTTGACCATTGGTTGAAAGTGATGATGGCTAATAGCAAAAGCGGAGAGAAAATTACTGAGAGGGAAAAAAAATGTTCTCAGGTTGAAATTTTCGAGCAACAGAATAGAAATCTTTCATTTTCACTTTATCAACATCACTTTATCATTATTATTATCTTCATCTTCTCATTCTGACCCATATTCTCAATCACTATCATGATACATCCAATGATCATGAGATCCTTTTGGTCTAAAGGGACAAATTAGGATTGTCTTCAGAAAGGATAAGAAAATGATTCCGATTGCAGTAAAAATAAGCTTCTCAACTTTAGGGTAGAGATGATGAAGATGCAATGAGAATAGATGGAAAGAAATTGTGATATTAAGATGATAAGATAATAAAGTTCATCTAAAATCGGGTAGAAAATACATATATTCATCTCTGTGTATTGACTAATCTTCAGAGTCATAACTCTGATAGGAAAAGTTATCAAGTTAATCATGTTGAGCTCGACCATGTAAATCATTTTGTAATCACTTTTATCATTGCTAATGCTTTATAATCAATGTAAACTTGAATATATCTTCAGTCTAGATAATCATTAAATATTAAGGGTGATTATCTGATGATCATGAAATTGGTGATGCAGCAAGAAAACCGAGTAAAAAAATAATAGTTGAATATCATGAAGAGTGATGATGATAACTTAGTTGTGATGTCAAGTTTGTTGTCATTTTGTTGATTGAAAATGGCACAATGATTAAATGTTTACTTAAAAGGGATTGAAATGAATGAAGATGCTCATGTAACTTTT